ACCCGAGCCGAAGGCAGCGGCCCAACCCACTGAGCCACCCAGGCGTCCCCGTCCTGCGTTTTAATAAAACTACTTTTTTTGTACCGAAAATGTTTCAAGAATTCTTTCTTGACCTTTTGTTCTCCAACCCCACTTCAAATCACATCAGCTTCTATCTGTGACTTCACAAGGAGGGAACTCACATTAGTTCAGTTACGCAATGACCTTAAACAATTTTTCTTGGGCATACCACAGGAACCTAATAAATATTTGTTGAATAAATGAGCCAGAATATTTTTCTCACATAACAGCACAGTCTTATTATGTAACAGCACTGTTTTAAACATTTTTTATTTTTTTAAGAGATCTTATTTACTTATTTATTTATTTATTTTTAAAAGATTTTTCTTTTATTTGACAGAGATCACAAGTAGGCAGAGAGTCAGGCAGAGAGAGGAGGGAAGCAGGCTCCCCATTGAGCAGGGAGCTCGATGTGCGGTTCGATCCCAGGACCCTGAGATCATGACCTGAGCCGAAGGCAGAGGCTTAACCCACTGAGCCACCCAGGCGCCCCTTATTTATTTATTTGAGAGACAGAGATCACAAGTAGGCAGAGAGGCAGGCAGAGAGAGAGGAAGGGAAGCAGGCTCCCTGCTGAGCAGAGAGCCCGATGCGGGGCTCGATTCCAGAACCCTGGGATCATGACCTGAGCTGAAGGCAGAGGCTTTAACCCACTGAGCCACCCAGGCGCCCCTGTTTTAAACATTTTGCCTATGATAATTTAATTATTATTTGATCCTCACAACTTTTTGAAACAGGAAATTGAAGTACAGAGAGGTTAACTAACTCGCCCAAACTTGAACATCTTGCTTTAAACCCAGGTAGTCCAGCTCTAGAATCTTTGTGCTTAACCATTATATCTGATGTAGGAAAGATGTTAGGGTTGGAAGCTGATGGCCAAGAAAGAATTTTTGAGACATCTTTGGTGCAAAAAGGTGGTTTTATTTATTAAATAATTTTAAAAGGTGGTTTAATTTATTAAAGCACAGGGACAGGACCCATGGGCAGAAAGACTTGCACCGGGGTCATGAGGAGTGGCCCATTATGTACTTTCAGGTTGGAAGGGGGTTAGGGATAACCTACGTCTCCCAGGTATTTTGGAAGCAAGGTTTCCAGGACCTTGAGGGGGCTAGCTATTGTTAGGAAAAGGTAATTTATTACCGTCTAATAAACCTTAGTCATGAGACCCTTTAGATGTGTATCAGTGGGCCATATGCTTGGGAATGAGTGCCGACACGAATCTTGGGGGGTGGGGGGTTAGAGATAAAGGAAATTTCTAAAGTAATTTTTATATGTTCAAGTAGACTTGCAGTGGGAGGGGGCGTTGTCAGTCAAGCTAGGATTGCCTTTTCGCCTTAGCAAAGTATTAACATCAGGCAGTTGAGTCCCTAGAGGAATGCCACTCTGCTTGTTTCAAGGATTTATAAGTGGGCTGTATAGATAGTAAAGAAATTTATTAATTTTTCTTCTCCCTTTGTTTCCCGCATTATACCTACTGCACTAAACGGCTGCAGAACTTACAAAGAAACTACTTCTGAACACTGGGTCTGGCTTTGTCTCTCTTCTCTCACCTGCAGAGCACTGGGGAGTGGCTCCTATCAGTCCTGAAGGGCCAATCCCTGTGTTTGGTCTGAGGATTGACAGCAACCCCTGCCAGGCTGAGCAGGACTCTGGAGAGGCAAGCCCACAGCCTACCCAGTCCCCAGAGCTGCGGTTGGAGCTACTTCCGGGGGAATCTGGTGATAGAGAGGGGTTTGTCGGCCAGGCTCACCACACGCTGAGATCCCATTAGCTTTTCCGCGCAAGGTGAGTTTGGTAGGGAAGAAGGGACAGAAGACCTGGATCCAATAGATGCCATGATGACTATGGGCAGGGTATCGCTTCACAGTTTCTACCGAGCATGCGCACCGCTCACTCCTGGCCGCGCTAACAAACGCGCCTGGAAATCTAACCCAGACCGGAAGTGGCTCGGCGCGGCCATTTCGATTGGGTTGTTAACTGGTTCTGACCTGTCACCCGTGTGGGAGGCCCAGGTGTTTCCGGACATTAGCCTTGGAGGTCTTTTGGGGTCCGTGAGCGGGGCTCGGCCTAGGGTGAGTGTGAGGGGCTGAGGGGAGGAATGACGAGGGTCTGCGGAGTGAGTGACGGGGCCTCAGTGAAGGGGGTTGTGGGATGAGGGGCGTTTTCTAATCCCAGTTGGGTGATTGGCTCGGTTATTTTCAGGCTCTGCGTATTTCCTGTATGCGTGTAAGTATTCTGGGGGTTTAAACTCCAAGTGTTTTGTTTGTTTAAGAATTTTTTTTAGGGGCGCCCTTTGGCTCAGGTCATGATCCCAGCTCGATCCTGGGATCGAGTCCCACATCGGGCTCCCTGCTCGTCGGGAAGCCGGCTTCTCCCTCTCCCACTGCCCCTGCTTGTGTTCCCTCTCTCGCTGTGAAATAAATAAGATCTTTTAAAGAAAGATTTTAGAGAGAGAGCAGGAACAGAGGGAAGAGGGAGAAGGAGACTCGCGGCTGGAACAGGGAGCCCAGCGCGGGGCTCCATCCCAGACCTTGAGTTGAGATGGGACCCAAGCGGGAGGCAGACGCTCAACCGACTGGCCACCCAGGCGCCCCCCAAGTGTGTTTTAATATCACGTTTTGCATTGTTGACCCTTGAAACTTGCTCACTTGAGGACGGCGAACATGATTCTGGAGCGGGCCTTAGTAGGTGGCACTGGGGACTTGGGGGAGTGACTCTGGAGGCGGTGATTGACTGGGAGCAAGAGCTTCAGGGATTGGAGGAGCTTGAGGGTCCCGTTGTAACATCGCGGAGCAGTGTTTGGGGACCTGCAGAAATCAGAGCGCGGTGCTAAGGTTAGGGTATGGGAGCCGAAGGACTGTCGGTCTGGGTGGTCAGTTATGGGGGTTTCCGAGGCCCGCCCTTAGCCCCCTGTGGACACGGTGAGGGTCGGTAGTGGTCAGCAGTTGAAGAGATGGATGATGGTTTCCTGTTGGGCTGCGTTAATTGCAACCCCATGTTGGGGATTATTTGGGGTCCTGTGGAAATCACACTCCCTGGGAAACACTTACTGGCAGCCAGCGTAGCCTGGTTACGTGGGTGACAGGGAGGCATTTCATGATCTTGCGCCAGTCCTGTGTTCCACTCCTTGGGGTTATCTGGAGGTCAGTGCTGTCAGTGACTGCATTTGATGTGGGGTTGGGAGGCAGTTCATTGTGTACAGTCAAGACACGTTAGGGATTTGGGGTCCTGGTGAGGTGGGAGCTGAAGGCAAGCTGAGGACAAAGCAGACGCTGACCCCTGCAACCTCCCCCCACCCCTCAGTCCTGGGTGGGACCGGTGGGACCTTCCAGGAATCTCCCATCTTATGTTAAATACCTTGCTAGAAGGGAAAAACAACCTTATCCTGACAAAGGCAAGGCCTCCAGTATCTTGTAGGTCCTCTTTAGCATATGAAAGTTCTACTGAAACCTCCCTTTTTCCTTACCTCCCCCAACCCCATCCTATATAACCCGCCATCCCTCACAATGGGACGGTGGCTCTTTCTGCCTCTGGGTCCTGTCCCCAGGCTTTAATAAACGACCAGTTTGCACCAAAGATGTCTCAAGAATTCTTTCTTGGTAGTCGGCTCCGGACTCCACCCCACTGAACCTCACTTACATTCTAAAACTTCATCACTGGTGCTTGTCTGCAGGCTTTCCAGGTGAAGGGGGTTGAGGACAGGAAATTTAAGTTTCAGCTTTGTTATGGGGCTCCTGGCTGCTCAGTCTGTTGAGCGTGTGACTCCATGTGGGGGCTGTAAGTTCAAGCCCCACCTTGGGTTTAGAGATTACTTAAAAATATTTAAGAAAGAAAAAAAAGAGAGAAGTCTGGGCTGTCTGGGGATGGGCACTGAAATGTCCAGAAGCTTGCACGGACGTATCAGCTGGGCCACCTCGGATCCTTACCTCTCTGAAGGCAACAGGAAATGGGAATGGTGTGTCTGGAAGCTGACCACGTAGGGGATCACGTGGGATAGAGTCAGCTGTGTGTAGTTTGGGACAAGGCAGAGGAAGGACTGATGCTCTTTTCTTCCCTCTGCAGGCTGACCACAAGGCAAAGCCTGGAAAAGCTTCAGTTTTCTCATCCACAAAATGGGCATAATAATGATCATAATGTTTAGTGGGCCAGGTTATGTGGAAATTAAACAAGGTGTTCATGCCAGGCAGGTGCTGCAGGCTTAACGAGACTCATCACATGTCAGTGTCCCGATGCCTGCGATAAAAACTTGGCATCCTCATTTTGGAAACTGCATTTAAAGTAATACTTTTCTTATTCCCAAGGCTAAAAGGTGGCAGAGCTACAGTTAAACCTTCATGTAGTCCAAACTCTGTGTTTTGTTTAGTTTTTTCCAAGATTTTATTTATTTGACAGAGCATAAGTAGGCAGAGAGAGAGAGGAGGAAGCCGGCTCCCTGCTTAGCAGAGAGCCCAGTGTGGGACTTGATCCCAGGACCCTGACACCATGACCTGAGCTGAAGGCAGACGCTTAACCCACTGAGCCACCCAGGCGCCCCTAAGATTTGTTTATTAGAGAACACGAGTGCGGGGAGAGCCAGAGGAGGGAGAGAGGATCCCAAAGCAGACTCTCCACTGAAAGTGGATCCTGATGTGGGTTCGATCACAGGACCCTGAGATCATGACCTGAGCTGAAATCAAGAGTCAGCCACTTAACTGAGCCACCCAGGCGCCCTAGAACTCTGTCTTTTATTTTACCCTGATTTGTAACCGGTTGGGTTCTTCTGAACTAATATTCCATAGGGTCTAGCACAGTGACCTTTCCCTAAGGACCCTCAAAAATACTTGTGTGGAGCAAATGTTAGAGGAGCGACCATGTGAGCATCGCCTTTCCAGGACTTCCTGGTGCTTTGCGGAGCTCATAGGTCAGACCATATCACTGAGCCTGCGGGTCTCTCTTCACAGCCCAGCCAGACACTCCCCAGCAGCTCTGATCGAAGCCTCCAGATGCCCACCCAGCTTCGAGGTCCCAGGAAAAGTGGAGTTGTCGGCAAGAGAACCCGAGAAGTGAAGCCCAGGGGAGACATGCCCGCTGATGAGAATGTGCCCCAAAGGTCCCAGGTCCTGGGTCCACAGGAGCAGAATGGGCCATGTGAGGTAAACAGGAATGGCGCCAGGGACAGTTCTCCAGAATTTGAGGGCAGACACAGGAAGCAGCGGGCTCTGGACTCTTGCTTAGACCGAGTGCCCCTCCTCCTGAGAGCGGACCACAGGGGCTCATGTCCCCTCATCACAGGCCTTTAGTACAGACCAGTGGAGGAGTGTATGTTGTAGAGGGCTGGTCCAGGGGCAAAGGAAGAAGAAAAGGGAGCCCCTGATCCGGGTAGGAAGCCCCAGCCACTGGCAGGGAAATGCGGACTCTTTCCTGCCCTGCTGGGAAGCGCCTTCATCCACCACTGGGTCTTTGCATGTTCTCAGCTGGTCCCAGTCTGACTTCTTACATGCTTGTTGGGGGTTGGCTCTTTTCCCTCTGTCCTCATGGTTTATAGAATCATAAGATTCTAGAGCAAAAACAGAGTTTTAAGGACATGTATGGTTTTTCCTATTTTATTTTATTTTATTTTTGGTTTTTCCTATTTTAAAAGATGAATACAAATGCCAGAGAGGAGTGTTTCCAAATTGCCCACAGATAAAATATTTGATATTGGGGAAAGAGGAAGATTGTTCAGTATACCGAAGATTTCCTGAAATTCCTAGTCAGTCTGTGTGTTTTATTTATTTATGAAAGATTAGTTTATTTGAGAGTGAGAGGAAGAGAGTGCAAGCATGAGCAGGGAGGGGCCGAGGGAGAGGGACAAGCAGATTTCCCACTGAGGGGAGAGCCTGACTCAGGGCTCAGTCCCAGGACCCTGAGATCATGACCTGAGCCCAAGTCAGATGCTTAACCGACTGAGCCACCCAGACGCCCCTAGTCTGCGTATTTAAAGACACTGTGTTTTAAAATAATACTGAATGGCCATAATAATAAACAGTGCATTGTTTACCTGTGATAGGTTTATAATCAAAGTTGCAGAAAGTTGTTCTGTTTTAAAAAAGCGTAACAAATGCACGGTTGATTACCATTGTGAACCAATACATTGTGAGATTATCTATTTCAGTAATGTCTAAAGTCATCTCCACCTGACAAAAACATTTGATAATAGAAAATTTGAGAGAAGGCATTAAAACTATTACAGTAAATGCCAAGTAAAAATCATTTAACGTCAAAAGATACTGCCCCAGGTACTCAGAAGTCATTCTTAAAATGAAAACACCCAAATCTGAAACAAAATTGTCCAGATCTTCATTGAGTGACTCAGTTCGCTAGGGCTTCTGTAACAAAGTACCACAGTGGGTGGCTTAAATGCCTTAAACAGAAATTTATTTTCTCATAATTCCAGAGGCTAGAAATCCAAGATCAAGATGTCAACAGGGTGCTTCCTTCTGCGGTCTCTCCTTGGCTTGTACATGGACTTCTGACTGTGTCCTCACACAGTCTTCCTTCTGTGGGGGTCTGTGTCTTAATTTCCTTTTCCTATAAGGACCCCTGGTCATACTGGATTAGGGCCCAGCCTGCTGACTTCATTTTAACTTAGTTACCTCTTCAAAGACAGCATCTCCAAATACTGGCATTGGGGGTTCGGACTTCAACATGAGAATTTTGGGGGGTGGGGAGATACAGTTAAGCCCGTAAAGGGACAGAAAATTACATTGTAGGAAAATGCCTCTTGTGTTGCATTGCTGTGGGTTGAAGTGTTAAGAGTGTGATTGAGGGCGCCTGGGTGGCTCAGTGGGTTAAAGCCTCTGCCTTCGGCTCAGGTCATGGTCCCAGGGTCCTGGGATCGAGGCCCACATCGGGCTCTCTGCTCAGCGGGGAGCCTGCTTCCTCCTCTCTCTCTGCCTGCCTCTCTGCCTACGTGATCTCTGCCTGTTAAATAAATAAAATCTAAAAGAAAAAAAGAAAAGGAAAGAAGAGTGTGATTGAAAGCATTTCAAGTGGCTGTTAGGATACGGGTTACTTCAGGGCTCCTGGGTGGCTCAGTGGGTTAAGCCTCTGCCTTCGGCTCAGGTCATGATCTCAGAGTCCTGGAATTGAGCCCCACATCAGGCTCTCTGCTCAGCGGGGAGCCTGCTTCCCCCTCTCTCTGCCTGCCTCTCTGCCTACTTGTGATCTTGATCTCTCTCTCTGTCAAATAAATAAATAAAAATTTTTAAAAAAGGATATGGGTTACTTCATAGTAGTACATTCCCTTTGACACAATGAAATTAATTTTGCCTGCTTGCCCTGGTTTTCATTTTGCCGTTTCAGTAGATAACCCTTTTGCTAATTCCGATTTTCGGTCAGCTTGCAAACAAAAACGCTGCCTTTGCGGACCGCGCCCTGTGGCAGAGAATCGAAATGGTCCTGACTCCCAGCTTGCTAGAGCAGGAAGGTGTAACCTGGTTCACTGTTCTCCGTAAGAGCACGTGTTCCAGCTCAAAAAAAACCCAAAACAGCTAACAGCTGTCAAGATTGTTTTTCTCCTCAGTGGCAGTGAATTTTTACCCTATTAACGAAGTATGTGGCTGTTTACCTCCCAATCCTTTAGTGACTCTTACACAGCTGTGTGACACTGAGGTTTATGAGAAACCTGTATATTTGGTTGTCGGCATCCAGGGCTCCTGGCTCACAGCTCCCCAGATCTTTGGAATTTCCTGAGCTATAAATAGTAGGAGGGGCATCTTTTGTGCCCGGATTTAGCCTTTTTCTCAGTTCCTGGCAGCTGGGGGGTGGGGGGGAAGCTTTAGTGCGTGTCTTGTTATTCATAACAAGCCCATTTCCACCACAACTGGGTTTATGTAAATGAGATGAATTTTGGAAATCCCCTAAGGGTGGTGGTTGCGGAGGGAACCGACCCAATGGTTAGAGGGGGCATGGGAATGCCCACGTACCTTGCCCCGTGCACCCCTTCATTTGACTCTTGATACGTATCTTTTTCTAATAAACTGGTGATCCCAGTGAGTAAACGGGTTTCCTTAATTCTTTGAGCTGCTCTAGCATATTAATTGAGCCCAAGAAGGGGGTCGTGGGAACCTCTAATTTAAGCAAGTCAGAGGTACAGGTGACACAGCCTGGGCTTGTGACTGGCCCCTGTAGCGGTGGGGCAGTCCTAAAGGGCTGAGCCCTCGCCTGTAAGAGCAGTCGCCACCTCCAGCTGGATGGGGTCAGAATTGAGTTGAATTGAAGGCCGCACCGCTGTTGGAGACCTGCTTGGCGAGGGGAAGGGGGTATCCCTCCTTCCACACATTTATTGCCATTTGGTCCAGAACCAAGAAGAGCTACCTCAGTTGGAGTTTTGAGTAAGCGCTCTTTCATATCCTCCCAGACCCTCGGAACTAGCATGCTTTTCACGCCCACCCTTCCAGGAGGGGGGGATCAGCTTTTGGTCAGCGATGTTCCCTATTGTAAAGGAAAACTGCTTCTCCTGCACGTCTCCTTTACACACACAGAAAACTGCGCTTCTGATGCTTCCGGTCACCAAACGCACTGTAAGCGCCTGTTTAGCCAGAGCGGCCCCACCTCGGTTGAACAGCCATTTGGTTGTTTATGCTGTAAAACTTAAATTGACCCTGTCCCCCCCCGCCTGGGGAACTTACTTAAAAGTCTGGGAAACCAGTCCCAGGTAACAGTCCAAATACAAGCGTGGGTCAGGTCAGTGGAGACGTTCAATCAGTGGGGGCCATACTGTCTCCTAGCTACCAAGGTGATGGGCTAGTTTCCATAGCTACTATGGGGTGAATTGTAATTCAGTTAGCCACCTGTGTGTGGCCAGGCCCAACCACATGGCCTCTGTCTGTGGTTAGTTAGTCTGGAAAGTTAGTCTGGAAAGCAGGGAGGGGTTGTCCTCTCTGTAAGGGGCAGCCCCAACTGGTCTGTTTGACAGTCCGTCTGATTCTTGATGCTTGGTGCGAAATAAAGCTTTGCTTGACCTTCGCTTTGTATCAGTCTCGCTCCTTTTGTTGGGTCCATGGTCAAAGGAGCGAGACTGATACAAAGCGAAGGTCAAGTAAAGCTTTGTTTCGCGCCAAGCATCGAGAATCAAACTGACCGGCCAGGCCGTCTCTTGCAAAGAGGTGACCCCTCCCAGCCTCACAGACTAACTTATAGAGCAAAGGCCATGTGGTAGAGCCTGGCCACACACAGGTGACCAATTGAATTTTACAATTCACCCTATAGTAGCTATTTCAACTAGCCTATCACTCTGGTCAAAATTGGCGCCCAAAAGGCAGGGCCCACATTCTTGGGTGGTTAGGGAGATGCTTTCCAGATTGGATGTCTCCACCTGGCTTGACTCATCCTTGCATTCTGGGCTCTGTTAGCTCCCCCTGACCTGACACATCCTGGTATATGGGCTCTATTATCAGGGGCTGGTCAGTCATATTTTACTGATTTCCCAGACTTGCTTCTAAGTAAGTTCCTCCGGTGGCGGGGGGGGGCGTCAATCTTAGTTTTCTGCATAAACAACAAAATGGCTCACTCTGGCTAAGCAGGCCCTTACACTTTGACCACGGACCCATCATTTGGGGACCCAACAGCATGGGGAATTTTTTCCCACACTGAGCACTTCCCTCTGACACCAGCTGGGTGTCCTACAACGTGTCAGCAATCTGCAATGTGAAGATTTGATCCCAGGCAAGGGAAAGCGTCATTGCCATCCAGTGCCAAACTGGGAAACCACAGCCTTTGGGTACAAAATGGGGAAGGTTTAGGGTTAAATAGGCAAAACCTGCAAGTTCTGTACCTCTAGCGAGGTTGGTCAGGCTGAGGTCCCAGACTTAAACCTCAGGCGCAGCGTGACAAGTGGGGTGCAGCTCCCAGGTTTCTGGCAGTGACTCCGGGATGTGGTGGCCGATGAGGAGCAGGAGCACGTGTCGTGGGGGTTTCTCTGAATTTTGCGCAGGCGCGTCCCCTTGGGCTGTGCTGACCAGGTTTGTCCTCACCGTCATCTGGCCTGGTTGAAATTAGTTTCTCTCCCTTGACATGAGAGAACCCATCTTGTGCATTAGCTGTTGCTAATTGTTTGGGTCTTGTTCTCAAATTCAATTCTGGCACTGTCTGCCCATATATGGGGCCACATCCCTCACGTTAAGGGCACAGTCTGACAAGACAGCCCCTCTCCCCGACCTCAGATGCCGGCTGAAACTCCGCGTTGTCACCAATGCTTCCGACCCTCTGGGCTTCAGAGGTTCCCGTAACCACCTCCTTGGGTTTAATTAATTTTCAAGAGTAGCTCACAGAACTCAGGAAACCCATGTACTCACTAGGTTACTGGTTCACTGCAAAGGAGATTAAAGGATAAGAATCAACAGCCAAGGGCGCCTGGGTGGCTCAGTAGCTGCCTTCAGCACGGGTCATGATCCCAGGGTCCTGGCGTCAAGCCCTGCATTGGGCTCCCTGCTCGGCGGGGAGCCTGCTTCACCCCCTCTCCCTGCTTGTGCTCTTTCTCAGATAAATAAATAAAATCTTAAAGAAAAAAGTCAACCTCCAGATGAAGAGATAAACAGGGGGAGATTCTGTCCCCGTACAGTTGGGAGGCCGGGCTGGGTGACGGATGAAAGTGATCCGGTTCAGCAACCTGGGAGCTGTCCAAACCCTGCCCTTCCGAATGCTTATGGAGGCCGCGGAACACGCAACCCAGATTTCAGTGATGAAATCGTTGGCGACTGGTGATGGGTTCCAGGTCGTGTCCCCTTCCTGGACTTCAGCGGTGGGGCTGAAAGTTCAGTCCTCTCATCACTTGGTGGGTTCCCCTGGCAACCAGCCCCCCCATATCCAATACTGACCCGTTAACAGAAGAGAAGACACCCTTTATCACTCTCCTCACTTAGGAAATTTCAAGGGTTTTAAGGAGCTCTGTGCCAGAAAACTAGAACAAAGACCAGCCCAGTATCAAAGTACGTGGTAGACGGCAGTGTATTTCTAGAGACTTTTTTTAAAACCCCCAAATACAACATGAAATGGGTGTTAGTGGAAAGCCGTATAGATCGTGGTGAAAAGTCATTAAAAAGAAGTCTCCAGGTAGCTTCTGTGTTCACCGGTAATGAGTAATTGACATCGGGGTGTGTTGTTACAGGGATTGGTGTCATTTGAGGACGTGGCCATGGACTTCAGCAGGGAGGAGTGGCAGCAGCTGGACCCTGCCCAGAGATGCCTGTACCGGGACGTGATGCTAGAGATCTACAGCCACCTCCTCTCCGTGGGTGAGCACACCTGACCCGGGAATCTTGGATGGACCTCGTTGGGATTTCCTTCCTTGTTGTGCGACGCAGTAGGGCATCTGAAGTATGTAATCCGTGTGCCTTTGACTTGTCCCGGATTGTTCATTCGTTTAGGACACCCCTGGATATCACTTTGTTCCCAGTGAAAGATGCTGACTTTTCTGATGAGCCGATAGCCCGTAAAGTCCCAGGCCCCATTCAGATCCGAGATTCTTTCTCATTACCAGGATATCACAGTCCCAACCCAGAGATCATTTCCAGGATCCTCTGAACTGAGAGGCTCAGCTCCCCTATCAGAGGCATCAGAGTAAGTGACTATTACCTGGCCGACGTGGATATCTTTGGGGGGCGTTATCTGTCCCCTAGTGGTGGGCTGTACGTTGCCTCCCACTCCGTTTCTGACTAACACTGTGATACATTATCTTGTAAACGCCCCTTGGGGAGAGGTGTCAGAATTTCTCCGAGGTGGACACTCGGGACTGGGATTCCCTGACCCCTGGACAGAAGTATAGTTAATGTGACCACGGAAGCCATCCCGCTCTGGGGACGAGCTGCGTAACCTCCGCTCCCGTGGGAGAGTGCATCTCGCCTGCCAGCACGGCTGTCTCTTTCTCTTGGCCCGTGTGGTGGGCGATAGGGCTATTTCTTGCTTTAATTTCATTTTTCTAGTAAAGAGAGCATCTCCTCATCTGTCGTCTGATTGGGTTTCCCATTTTTATCATCTTATTGCATCCATGGAGTTTTTTCTTAAGGCCTTTTTTCCTTTTTATTTGTCCCCTGAATTCATTGGTTTTTCTTTTCTGTGCTGGATCTTCTTTCTTCTTCTTTTCCCCTGATTGTGGCACCTGCAGTTCAGGGCCCCCATGCTTCCTTTTTTTTTTTTAATAAGATTTGATTTATTTATTTGACAGCGAGAGAGGGAACAAAAGCAGGGGGAGTGGGAGAGGGAGAAGCAGGCTTCCCGCCAAGCAGGGAGCCCGATGCGGTGCTTGATCGCAGGACCTGGGGATCATGACCTGAGCCGAAGATAGAAACTTAACAACTGAGCTGCCCAGGCACACTGTGTCCATGCTTCCTTCTGATCATCCCTTCATGTAGGAAGTTAAGGCCCCTTCTCTTCGGAACACCCAAGCCGCAGTTTTTTTCTGGTGGCCCCTAGATGGACACCCTCCAGTCCCTGTGCCTAAACCATTCTCTTACTCAGCTACATGGCAGACACTTCCCATAGGAAGACTCACTTCCTCTAATTTTGGGAGATCAGAAATTGGAATCCTTACACAAATCAGACGTGCTTTCTTGTCTTACACGTTTTACCAGAGTCTCCTGCATGTCTTGGCTCTTCCACCACAGTCCTCTTACTGAGAAATCTAACAATTTTTTCTTTTGAATGGGCAGTTTAGTTGATGCTTTTTCTTAATCCCAGTGGTCTCCCCTAAATGAGCTCCTGTTTCTTCCTGCTTGTGTTTTTGTTCCTAATGGGTTTTGTGGATTCTAGATGAGGTCAGTCATGATGCCATTGACAGAGTTTTCCAATATTGTTTTTTTTTTCCCCTGAGATTTTGATGGAAAAATACAGTTATTACTATGTAGGATTAACAGAGTCTTCTCAGTGACATCAGCGTCGTGGCCACATATTTCTAATTTTAAGTGTAGCTGAAGAGTTTGATTGCTCATGCTGTGTTCTGTTGGGTTCCTCTTTTGTTCCATGTCTGCTACAGAGACATATGTATGATATACATAAAGGTAGACAATACATATTATCTAAGAAAACTGTAAATATCTGGGCGTGAGTCTATTTAAAATAAGAAAATTTCAAAAAGATGGTTGAGATCATAAATTTCATAATTACATATTTTTTACCACACATTTTTAAGATTTGATTTTTAAGTAATCTCTGCACTGAACAAGGAGCTCTAAACTCACAAGCTCAAGATAAGAGTCATGCACTCTACTAACCAAGCCAGTCAGGCGCCCCTCTTTCTTTTTAGCATCTGTTCTATACTAGTAAATTTGGTGATCAATGACTCCCATTCTTGGTGGGGAAAAAATGGTGTATTAGGTGGTGTACAGAGACACCAAAGTTCAGTGACAATTTCTAGAATAATTCCTCTCCTGTAAAACAGTTTTTTAAGAAAGCAGGTCAGGGGCACCTGGGTGGCTCAATGGGTTAAGCCTCTGCCTTTGGCTCAGGTCATGGTCTCAGGGTCATCGGGCTTTCTGCTCAGCGGGGAGCCTGTTTCTCCCTCTGCCACTCCCCTTGCTGTGCTCTCCTGCTCGCTCTCTCTGTCAAATAAATAAATAAAATCTCAAAAAATAAGTAAAAATTAAAAAGCAGGTCAGCAGGAAGCCTCGCTTCTTGTATTCTTCAGGTGTCTTGAATTTTTCCCTCGATGTTGCACTCTGCTCTGTGATGCTGTCCCTCTGCAGCACTGAATGTGCCGGGTACCCAGAGGCAGGTCCTGCTGGGCAGAAACGGGGTGGAGGGTACCGAGAAGCTGTGATCTCACCGCCCAGGCCAGAGCTGGTGGATAATGCTGCGTTCGCATTCCATCAGCAGAAACAGACTCACCGTCCCACCTCCTCGCAGCGGCGCTGGGAGCTGTTCTGTAGCTTGGCCTGTCCACAGTTAACTTCTGGGGAAGAGGGTGACACACGTTTCAAGGGACAGCTTACTTGTCAACTTCTTTAAGATTTTATTTATTTATTTGACAATGCACAAGTAGGCAGAGAGGCAGGCGGAGGAAGAGGGAAAAGCAGGCTCCCCGCTGAGCAGAGAGCCCGATGCGGGACTCAGTCCCAGGACCCTGAGATCATGACCTGAGCCAAAGGCAGAGGCTTAACCCACTGAGCCACCCCTTGTCCACTCTTCCAATGTACTTTTCTTGGGTCATAAGTTTATCGGTTCAAGCAAACAAATTTCAGCTTCCTGGAGAGTTGAGTCTGGGCACAGGTGTCCTTTCCCTGCTTGGCCGTGTCAGGGTTGGAGCTTTCTTACTTACTCAGAGGATTAACAGGGCAGCGGGTTTGGTATCGTTTCTAACAAGTGAGAGGAAACTGGCGGGTTAGTGACAGTTTAGATCTGAAAGCTGATGAAGAGCTGCCCTCGGAGCCCCTCCTTTTCAAGCCTTGGCTGTTCCCACCTGTGTTACCCCTGTCTGTATTTTCTGTCATCGTAGGTGTTGGTGTCTCCGGGTCTCTGGACCGCGGGCCTGCATTAGGTGGAGCTGGCTTGTCTTTGTTCTAACCTACTTTTCCCCAGAGCTCCGGGAGGTGGTTTTGGTCAGTTACTTAGAGACTCTGTGCCGCCTCCCGTTCTGTGAAATGGAGAGTAAGCGCAGTTACGCGTGCAGGGTTGTGAGGATTGAAGAGTTTCCGCGCGATGCGGAGCGCTCTGTGCTGTATGCAGACCGGCGACATGCAGCGAAGGCAGGGTGGCTGTCTCCTCGGCGGCGCCGCCCTCCCATCGTCATTATTACTGTGACCCAGCAATTCGTGTTCGCCCTCAGTCCGCTCTCCTATGATTTCTCCTCCATCCTCTCCTAACTCGTGTCCCTTTCATCTTCTTCCTCTCCTTCTAGAAGGGGCGTTGGGACTTAAAACCTCCCAACAGAAAATATTTGCAAAAGCTTCATCTCACAGCGAGAAGGAAAGTGAAGTCACAAGAGGTGGTCCGTGGTGTTCCATTTCAGAAGACCTGTGGGGACACCGTGGCCGTGCAGCGAGGGGTCAGCAGAAGCAAGATGAACCTGCACGGCGTGGGGCCTTCCTTGACGGGAAGACACTGGATACAGAGAGAGACTGGGAGCGGGAGGACCCGGGAAGAATCATTCATGTGAGGCCTCACCTTGTTTGTTCACAAAGCAGGCCTCCTCAACACTGCTCAGTTGCCAGGAGTTTGAAGCCTAATCCAGACGGGCATCGTCAGACTCAAAGCGACAGCACAGAACACCGCGGTGAGCTGGCTGGCTCTGGCCGGATGTTCTCCCGTAGCTCCTCCCGGGCCAGCTGCAAGCACGTTCATCCAGGAGAGAACTTCTGCGAAGGGAATCAACGTCCGAGAGTCCTCAGCCATAAACAGCCACGCACGCAGCACCAAATGCGTAATCAGGAGAGACCCCATAAATGCGCTGAGTGTGGCAGGGGCTTCCCCCAGAAGCCGCCCCTCGAGCAGCAGAGATTCCATAGTGTAGAAAACCTCCAGGAGTGTAGCAGATGTACCAAGGGCTTCACCCCACAACCGAAGCTCGGTGTGTATCCGACAGCTCACACAGCTAACATCTGCAAGGAGTGTGGGAAGGTCTTTGTTCAGAGAGCAGAACTGATGACACACCAGAAAACTCACACAAGAAGGAAGTCCCATAAATGCCACGAATGTGGGAAAGCCTTTTACCAGACGCTATCTCTCTTCAGACACCAGAGGACTCACACTAGTGGGAAACTCTACGAATGCAGTGAATGTGGGAAAGGCTTCTCCCAGAATTCGACCCTCGCCATCCATCAGAAGATTCATACGGGTGAGCGCCAGTACGCGTGCGGCGAATGCGGGAAGGCCTTCACCCAGAAGTCAACGCTCAGCTTGCACCAGAGAATCCACTCAGGGGAGAAGTCCTACGTGTGCATTGAGTGCGGACAGGCCTTCGTCCAGAAGGCGCACTTGACCGTGCATCAGAGAGGCCACACCGGAGAGAAACCTTACCCGTGCCACAGCTGTGGGAAGGCCTTCATTTCCAAGTCACAGCTTGATATACATCACCGAATTCACACCGGGGAGAAGCCTTATGAATGTGGTGACTGTGGAAAAGCCTTCACCCAAAAATCACACCTCAACATCCACCAGAAAATTCACACCGGAGAAAGACAACACGTATGCGGTGACTGTGGGAAAGCCTTCAACCAGAAGTCCATACTCAGCATGCATCAGAGAACTCACACCGGGGAGAAGCCTTACAAATGCGGCGACTGTGGGAAAGCCTTCACTTCCAAGTCACAGTTCAAGGAGCATCAGCGGATTCACACCGGAGAGAAACCCTATGTGTGCACCGAATGTGGGAAGGCCTTCAATGGCAGGTCAAATTTCCACAAACACCAGATGACGCACACCAGAGAGAAAACCTTCACCTGTTACAAATGTGGGAACGCCTTTCTCCAGAAATCAGAGTTGGTGGCACATCAGAGAACGCATGTTGGGGAGAAGCCTTATGAATGCTGTGACTGTGGGAAATCCTTCGGCCGGAAACCACAGCTCCAAGTGCATCAGCGGATTCACACGGGAGAGAAGCCTTACGTATGTTCTCAGTGTGGGAAGGCCTTCAACAACAGATCCAATTTTAATAAACACCAAACAACTCATGCTAGACACAGGTCTTATTAAAGCAATTATTGCATGAAAGGCTTTACCTAGAAATCAGTTCGTCGTATGCATCAGCATATACACGAATGAGACAAACTAAATTTCTTGAAGAAGAGAAAAATCTCCCACGCGTCAGATTCAGTTGTAGGTTACAGAATCCAGGATTCTGAAGAACTCCAGGAAAGCACTGCGTGTTGCAAAGTTGCACATCATTTGACGTGAAAGAAAGGGCTCAGAAAATAACATGAATTAACATGATTGAGGGTAAATGTCCATATTTGTACTAGCCTTGTTAAGGACTATGAAACTCATCTGGGAAGAAACCCTGACTGGCACACTGAGAATTGTGTTCCTCTGGGAAGTACAAGACTTGTACCAGATGGGTTATAGAAAAATTTGTGAGAAATTAATGGTAACCCTGTTGAATTTGGAATATCGGTATTTTCAAAGAACTAGAAACCGGAATGACCAGACAGGTTGTGTGTGTGTGTGTGTGTGTGTGTGTGTGTGTGTGTGTGTGTGCAGCTACATAACAGTTCTCTAGTGTTTGCTGTAGGCTTCACTGCATAGCAGAGGTGTGGGAAGGTTTATTTGTAAAGGATCTACCATAATTAAGTCTATCAAATTTATTCCCAGTTGAATATATCCTGAGATTGCACAGTCAGTAATTATTAGTTTCTTTATACACACAGGCACAGCTACCTCATTTTGTCGTGCTTTGCAGATACCGCGTTTTCACAAATTGAATGGTTTGTGGCAGCCCTGTGTCGGGAAGGTCACTGCCACCTTTCCCCACGGCGTTTGCCCCCATCATGTCGGTCACATGTTGGTTGTTCTTGGGATATTTCCAAGTTTTTCATTATTATCCTATTGGACGTGGTGATCTGTGATGAGTCATTACAACTCACTGAAGATTCAAATGATGGTTGGGTTTTTGTTTTTTTTTTTTTAAGTGTTTTTTAATAAGGACACACTTTCCTTAGGGGTACCGCTGTTGCACACTTCATAAACTACCATGTAGTGCCGACGTGACTCTCACATCCACCGGGAAACCCAAAAATTCACTGGACATGTTTTATTGCGACATTCGCTTTATTGAGGGGCCTGAAACTACCCAAAGCTGCGGTATCTCTGAGGTGTGCCTGTCTCAACACGTGAATGTACTTTCTTGGTTAAATGTATAAATGGGATTTTGTAACATACACTGGCCTTCATAGTGCACCTTTTCTCTTTCGTGACCCGCTCAGCTCTACCACCCCGCCCCCATTTCTTTCCACTTCCACCGTCTGGTGAGCAGCTCCATAAATGACCAGTGTTAACCTTACAGTATGGACTTCTTTGTATTTTTACACAGGCTCCTGATCATTTACACCAGGAGTCAGCAAACCCGCCGTCAGTCAAATAGGGTTGGCCACCTGCTCTTTGGAATAAAAGTTTTACTGGACGCAGCCATGCTTCTGTGTTGATGTGCGGTCTATGACCACCCCTGTGCTCCAGTGGCCTGTGTGCAAGCCAGAAATACACGCCATCTGGCCCTTTCCAGAAGATTACCTGATACCCACCTGCGCTGATAATCCTGTACCCGGGTGGGACCTCTGTCCTCTGGAAGCACCAGATCACACCACACATGCGCGGGCACCTTGGTTCTCCCTGCCGCTGTGCGTCTGTTAGTGGCTGTGTGGTGTGTGCGGTGAGCACGCTGGACCGTCCTCACAGGTTTTACTATTCGTTCTTGCCGCTTTCGTTGCTACAGGACAGTGGCTGGGCTGCCTGCTCTTCCGGGGCATGGGCCCAGGAGCCAGGTACCCAAGTTTGATCAAATGTCGGTCACACAAGTGTTCAGCTCCTCTGCCCTGGGTTTTTAAAGGATGATGCTAACAGTGCTGGGTGGGTGGGTGGTCAGCACTTAGAGCCACATGGAGAGAACCTGAGAGTTTGGGGCTCTGAATCAATGCCTAGAAATGAAAGGGTGGGGATGAAGGTTGGCGGAGAGGAGAAGTGAGTAAAATAAACTGTCCTTTAATAGGAAACCAGTTGGGAGGGCTGCCCTGCAGCCCAGGTCTTGGGGATCCTGGTCCAGCCTCCAGCTCCCCTGCAGCCTGCCATGGGGGCTCCTAGGACCGGGGAGTGGGGAACTCGATGTCCACGGTGAGGTTGGTGTAGAGGGGCTGCAGCTCCTTGGAGAGCAGCCTGTAGCCCAAGGAGTCGATGCCATCCTGCTGCCCTTTGTGGCGGATTGAGGCCAGGAGGTCGGGGCTTGGGGGAGGGGGAGCAGCCACATGAGCCCAGGACCTAGGGATCACCTGAGGTGGGACATCCTGCTTCAAACCCCAGCTTACCTCGGGGGGCTCCGCTGGTCACTGGGGTCCTGCCCCTCCAGCATGTGGTAGCGACCAAAGAGCAGATGGGGTCGGGAGAGAAGCATCCCACTCAGTTGCAGCCTTACAGGGGGAGAGGGCAGGAAGGCCAGATGCCTGCCTCTGACAGGGAACCATGCCACACCCAGCCCTTCAGGCGATGGTGGCCCATGTCCCCCACACCATGGGGGGGACCTGCAGCCCTGTGCTAGGTTCCTCAAGCAGGGCCCCCACCTGGCAGCGATGTCATGGTCCTCACGATCCCAGCCCCGGTACGAATTGGGGAAGCCGTTGATCCTCAGGTAGTGAATGGGGCGCAGGGCAAACACACCCCCAAGGTAGCCGTGGTAGGGTAGCCTGGAGAGGCAGAGAGAGTTGGAAACAAGTTTCAGGCCACAGGGGTCCTGGCTAGGATCTCCAGGCATTATTTCTGGGTTTGCCCTTCCCCACTCACCCCTGTGATAACTAACCACTCCCCTGGCCCCTCAGGTGTCCCCTCCCCTAATCTTAGAGTAGCCCTTCCTCTGCCCCTTGAGATGGGCCCTCCTTTGACCTGGGATTTTCCCTCCCCTAAATCTGACAGGCCCACTTTGTGACCCCTTGATGGCCCTTTCTCCCCAGACTTCTGGGATAACCCTCTCCTGCCCCCCAGACAACCTGTCCTTTCATATATGTTCTTCTCTGACCTCCATCAAGACCCTATCACTGACCCCTCCCTCCACCCCCCAGTTAACACCTGCATCCCAAAGGAAGGTTCTCCCCTGTCTACAAGGCTTTTCCTTGGGCCCCATCATCCCTCTCTGCCTCGGTGCCAGGGAAGCTCAGGGCCTGGCCAACCATCCCCCGCAGGAAGCTCCCTCCCTCCCCCTACTTGTAGTCGAACTTGTCGATGGCCACAGACACATGGGCAGGGAAGATGTCACAGATGTAGAGGTTGCGGTCATCCTCTGGGAGGAGGTTCACATCATGGAAGAAGACACAGTCCCATTCCTCCTCCTGCATGGCCTCCCAGAACCCCACGTTGCGCAGCTTGCCCCGGTTGAAGGCGGTGTTGTGCACCTGGGATGGACAGAGACGTGCCATGCTTTCTTGCCAGCAAGGCAGAGCATGCCCCCAGTTGCCAGGCCTGTCCTCTCCCCTTTCCAAGTGCCATTCTCCTGCCTGGACCCTATTCCCACTGGAGCTGGAAAACCCAGACCCGTCCACAAGGGCACAGTTCAAAGGTTACCTTCCCTGGAAAACTTCCTGAATTCCCGCCCCCATCCTACGCAGAGTCAGTATCGACAGCCCCTTGCTCCGTCCATGGCCATTTCCAAGGTTCTCAAGGAACCTACCCTTTAAGAGACCGTCTGAAGGAGGCAGGGATTAGGGTGGGCAGGGAGCACCTACGGCTTTCTGCTCTTACCAAAGACTGGGTCTGATGCCCAGAAACCATGACAGGGTTTGCCTCTCCCTCTCTTGCTCCATGGTCATGTTCTCCTTCTTCATCTTCTTGACTCATAAATCCAGCCCCCATACATCCTCTGGCCCAAATGCTGTCAGCTCAGAGGCTGACGACTTCAACCTTGACTCTCCACGGCCATGCTCAGACCCCTCTGTCTTCTTGTCTCCAGCCCTCCCCGTGCTGGCTGTACCTGGTTCACCACGTAGATGGCATAGTGCAGTTGCTGGCGCTGCAGGAAGGGGTGCAGGTGGAAGAGCAGGTGCTGCAGGTGCTGGTCTTGCCCATAGTAGGGCACCACGACCGCCGTGTGGTGTCGTGTCCAGCAGTCAGGAGGCCGGTACTGGCCTCCCAGCTCCACCAGCGGGTTCTTCTCCACCACCTGCTCCATCGTCAGGTTCTCTGGGATCATCACCCTCAAGGGGCCATCTGAAAGGGGCAGATGTCAGGGACCTGCCCCAGAAACGCCACAACCTAGCCGTGTTCAATCATGTCCACCCCCACCACCCCCGCCGTCGCCAAACCATGTCTGCCAGCACTTCAGAATGGGACCTTGGAAATAGTGTCCATGAAGATGCAGATGGTTAGAATGTGGAAGTTCTGGATAAGGGTGGGCCCTCAACGTAACGACTGGTGTCCTTATAAGATCATCTGAAGACCCAGCGAGAAGGCAGCCGTGGAGGCAGAAATTAAAGTGACCTGCTTACAAGCCAAGGAAAGCCAAGGATCGCCACCAACCACCGGAAGCTAGGAGAGAGGCGTAGGATGGCTTCTCTCTCGGAGCATCCGGGAGGAACCAACCCTGCCCCAACACCTTGATTTTGGACTTCTGGCTTCTAGAACTGTGGGAAGATAACTTTTTGTTGTTTTAAGGATGTCTCCCCTGGGCTGGTTCTCAGGACACCCGCTCTCCCTACACCTCGGACTGCTCCTTCCAGTTCCCTCACTGAGGGCTCCACCATCCACCTGCCCAGCCCCAGCGGCGGCTCTGGCCCAACATGCCCTTCTTACAGTGTGACTTTGATGCTACCCCCAGGGAGAGGTGAGTCTGTCTCCACCCCTTAAAATGGTTGGGGGGGGGGGCGCTTTATGACAGTTTCAATGAGTATGTCAGAAATGACACTACATGGCTTTTGAGACTGGATTATGACTTCTGCCTGATTCATGTGCACACTTGCTCCTGAAGTTTGCGGTTGCCGCGTAAGCGCTCGGGCCGCCATGCTGTGAGGAAGCCCACACGAGCCCGGGGAGGGGCTACGCGGCGACTCTGAGATTTCGTGGGGAGAACGGGTTGCTTCTACTCCAGCTGCTGTCTTACCTCCAGCTATATCGCACTGCAACTGCGTGAAACACCTGGACCACGACTGCCCAGCGGGACCCTTCCCCAGACTCCCAACCCAGATACACGTTGAGAGTTGGTGACTTTTAGAGACACTCATTTCTGGGGTCGTTCATTATGATGCAGCCACAGATGACCAGCACATCTCTCCCATCACCACCAGGCCTGTGCAGTCCGCTTCCAGGATCTGTCCCTCTCCCCTGGGAGTCCTGCTAGCTCCCCAAAGCCCAAGGCAGGGTTGAGGGTGGAGGATGCCCCGACAAGCTTACTCATGTAGGGGGAGATGAGGGGGCAGCTGGGCAGGTCCTCCTTCCTACGGTCCACAGGGTGGATCTGGCTGAGGTTGGCGTATACATCCTGGGAAGAGGTCCCTGCAGAGGAGACCGAGACCAAAAAGGGCAACTCTTCTCCCACCGCTGGCCTGTCCCGTCTCAGGACACGCAAGAAGGAGGCAAGGCTGTGGTGGTGGTGGTTCTGGTAGAGGAGCGCCCCCATAAGCAGCAGCTGTACCCCCAGAAATAATAACAGGAGCCCCCTCTGCTGTTCCATTCTGGGAAAGCAAACAGAAGGTCATTCTTCCCATTTTGCAAAGCCCACCTTTACCCCATATACCTCAGTTGCAGGGGCCTGTACCCACCCTCCCTGACTGCGCGCAGGAAGGGGGCCCAGGGTGAGAGAACGGCGCGGCTGCTCAAGCTGCACCACCCGCATGAAGACCCTGCCTTGTGCACATCTCCAGCCTCATCTCCTCCAGCCGGTCGCCTCCAAACCCCAGGGTCGCAGTGGACCCTAGCTGGTTGCTCCCCTGGGTGACTCTCTCTAAGGCTCAATGTCCTTGTCTGTAATGGGCACTACATGGGATCGAGCTCACTGGGTTGCTGCACTAGGACTCGCAGTGTGCAATGCGACCGGCTGCAGATTATTCCAGACTGTGCCAGGTCTGATCATATCTCCAGCGTCCTGTATGAAAGGGACCTACGTGACTCCTGTTCATTCTGGGTGCTCTTCTTCCCTGTAACGGGCACCAAGTAGCCCCTAGAGGCTTACACGGCCTCTATATCTACCTCCACCACAGTCTGTCATCCTGGACTGTGACTGTCCTATCAACTGCCCCCATCGGACTAGGAGCTTGCAGAGAACAGGGTTCAGGACTGACTCATCTCAGCCCCTGGCACAGGAGGGCCCAGGAAATGAATGATGAAGAGTGAGTGTTAGGATTTGCAACCTGATACACTCCTGCTCGTCCTCAGCCACCGCAAGTTCTCCTCTCCTCTTCTCCACATCCTCCCCTATCTGCCTCAGCCCCCCTGGCTCCCCGTATCTCAGCTGTCACTGCTCTGGCCCCCAGACAGGGAATGATCTGTGTCCAGATCTCCTTCCCTCACCACACGGGGAGTGGGGCAGGCCTCAGCCCAGCTCAGCCCTGGGTCCCTAGCATTACCCAGCACAAAGGCTGAGTGTCTGTTCAACTCTAGTCACTAAGCGTCACTTCTGTGCCAGGATTACTGTGCAAACCAACAAAACTGCCACAAGCAAAATCAGCAAAAACCTCTACTCCCGGGAAACCCACATTCTGGTGGGGAAGACTGGCAAGAAAAAGGTTTCAGTGAGTAATAAGAACCTATACATCGAAAGGGGTGAAGAAGGAAATGGATGGAGGCTATCTCTGCTAGGTGGCTGGGCAAAGGGAACAGCAGGCGCAAAGTCCCTGAGGTGGGCAGGGGGAGTCAAAGGGCACTGAAGAGTAACACACAGGCTGGTGTCCTTGTCACTAAGTCGGCGAGCGTGTTTTTAGATGAACCAAAAAATTATCTCATTACAGAAGCAGGCTCAGGGCTGCATCTCAAATGTGGAACAAAACAGAATGTGATCGGGGACAGAATATCCTTCGATTCTGAAGCACGGAGACAAGAAGTGAGTGTCGGTAGCAAATCCCATGTTGTGGGGCAGGAATAAGGAAGAACTACCTGCTGGTAGAATTCCTCTTAGCTTTCCAGCTGGAAAGACAGCATACAAAAGAGTGTTGTTTCACAGAATACCAAGCCGACTTTTGAGTGGCACTCCAAATTCAGATGCCCCGCCTTTAATCAAAATGAGAAGAAACACCCAGATATGGTGGAAATGCACCCCATTCTCACACAGAAGACAACTGATGATCAAGTATGTCTCAGGAGCCCTCGGGACCAAAACCAGTCTTTGCAACATGCTGGTAGAGTTGGCCCAGCAGCAGTTTACGAATGTATTCACTGAAAACAGCAGGGCTCATACTAATCCCTATTTCTCAGCTGTGAATGCTGCGGGTGTGGACCGTTCCTGAGTCCTGCTGCACCTGCCAGTGTCCAGCTGCTCTGTTAAGTCGGAGGTGCCAGCACAGCCTCGGTGGTGATTCTATTTCCTCTTCCTAGGCAGGGGGTCGGTGAGCTTAGGGGAGCAAGGAATCTTCCACGGTGTATGTGTGCTCAGGAGTATAATTCTTCACGCAGGAGTCAGCTGCATCTGGTGGTTTCCGTGGGGCCACCAACAAAGGGAGTGTGTTGGACACACAACACCCAGTGTTAGGACATGCAGGCCCACTTCTCCAGATTTCCCCCTCCTCCTGCAGGACAGGAAAGGCTGCTGTTGAAAGTGTGGGCTGTCTCCTGGAGAGCCAAGTAAAAAGGACCCCTCCGACTCCACAAGAAATGTGACAGTCACGTTTTTGTGGACAGCAACAAGCTTTTATCTTCTGATCCCTCATTTTATAATCAATCCCTATTGCAAATACAGGGTTTTGTGGTGGTTCTTTTTTAAGATTTTATTTATTTATTTGACAGAGAGACAGCCAGGGAGGGACTGAGAGAGGGAGAAGCAGGCTTCCTCCTGAGCAAGGAACCCGACGCAGGCCTCGATCCCAAGACAGTGGGATCATGACCTGAGCCAAAGGCAGACACTTAACGACAGTACCACCCAGGTGCCCCGGAAACATAAGGGTTATGACTTAAGACACAGTGTGACTGTCACTTGGGCTCCTGGGAGAGAAAATTTAATTATGAACTCAATGACTAAAAAAAAAAATTTTGGAACCATGATCATGTGACTGTAGGGGTGGGAGCATAAATTTTCCTGTTACTTCCTCAAAAAATAGAAGAGTCCATTTCGCTACTGTTGAAAGGTGAACCAGGTAGGATGAAATCAACTGCATACTGTTCCCCAAAGTTACATAAATTTCAAGGAAAAAAAAAAACACCTGACGTCTTACACTAGCAGCAATTCCCATGCATATGACATGATTCAAATTAGCACACCCACATTTCCCAAGTGACATGTTTCCAAGTCTCATTTAATAAGTTATATTTTCATTTGGGGGAAGTAAGCTTTGTCCGGCTGCTGTGTGGTGCACGTACAACCAGTAAGGGCCCACAGTGACTTGGGAGACCCAGAGTCTCCCCCAAGGAGTCTGGACTCCCTCAATCGCCCTGGGAACTGGTCTCTTCCTCCTGGCAGGTTCCTGGTACACAGAACCTCTTTTATCTAGCAGAGGTCTTCCAAGTGGGGTGTCTACACACAACTCCCCGCATGGAAGTGTATTTCTATTCTAGTCATTTAAGGTGATGGTTGGTTCACGTTGGGATGTTTTATATTCAGAACAACCAAAGCATGAGTGCTTAGTAGAGCTAATTTTTTTTTTAATTCAACTGCAATGTTTTCAGGGGAAATTTTTTTCAAGTTACACTGAATAAAATATCTAGATAAAAATTAATGGTCCTCATTAGAATTGATATGCATTTTTCTCTTAGGTACTTAAAGCCTATTTGAGTCATGTCATAAAATATTTACTCCAGTAACAGTCAATCCCATCTCAAGTCACCTTGGGAAATGTATGACATTTTCCACCTCTGATGCCTGGGTGGCTCAGTCAGTTAAGCTTGTCCCTTTGGCTCAGGTCATGCAAGCCCCATGTTGGGCTCCCTGCTGCAGGCGCCTTTTTTCCTTCTCCCTCTCCCTCTGCCTGCTGCTCTCCTCCTGCTGTGCTCTGTCAAACAAACAAACAAATAAATAAAATCTTTAAAAAAAAGATGAGGTGAGGATACAAAATTCTTCAGAATGGTTTCCTCCCAAACAAAAGTATTTTAGAATTACTGTAATATGCACATACACGCACACACTCAGACCCCTTCTGTCTTGGCTGGTTCCAAGATGTATGAAAAATTGTTTTAATAATTTCCTAAATCATAAAACCAAATGGGAAAATTCACTCATTGGATCAGAAGTACATGTACTAAGCTTCTTGCTGAAGGTCCCTTTGTCCTGGGGAATGGGACAGGATGACCTTGCAATTTGCTGAGACGTTCTCATGGTCCAAAGTGAGTATCATTGCAGTATAATGCAAGTCACAGATGTACTTTTACATTTTTTTAAAAGATTTTATTTATTTATTTGACAGAGAGATCACAAGCAGACAGGGTGCGGGGGGAAGCAGGCTCCCTGCTGACCAGAGAGCATGACATGGGGCTCGATCCCAGGACCCTGAGATCATGACCCCAGCCCAAGGCAAAGGTCTAACAAACTGAGCCACCCAGGCGCCCCTGTACTTTTACATTTCTATTAGTCCCATTTAAAAAGTGAAAAAATAAACAGGTACAATTAATTTTTTAACATTACACTTAAGCCAATATAGCAAAAATGTTATGATTTCAACATGTAATCAAGGTAAAGGATTACTGGAGAGATATTTTACATTCTTTCTTCACATGAAGTCTTCTAATCTGGTATTTTGTATTCACGGCACAGCTCTAATCAGACTAGCCACACACGGCCAGTGGGCGCCATACTGAAGAGCCATGCTGAGGACCCCTGTACATTTCCCCCACGTTCCTGGGAAAAACCTGTACTTTCCCAACCTCAGCTACAAGTTCCACTTCAGACCCTTAGTTCAAGCTTGTCAGGGCTCTTGTTCGAACTTTCCACAGCTTTATAGTTTTTTGTCTGCTTGATGAATTGCTGAGAAAGAGGTGTTAAAATGTCACAGTGCTTCTAGAATGTGCCGGTTTCTTCTCATCCTGCTCACTTCGGCTTTATTTCTCTGGAGTCTGTGTTGTGAGGTAAACCCAGTTGTTTTGCCAAACTGGTGATTCCTTCATCATTCGCGATGACATTCTTTACTACTCACAGTGCTTGTTGACTTGAAAATCTGGTGGTTGTAGCTGAACTTGGATTTCTTTGTGCTGTGTTCCTGCTGTGTCTTCCTCCCCTTTCACGTTCACACTTTTGAGTCTTTACTTATTAGATGTGGGTCTCATGTGCACAACAAATGTTTTTTTCTTAACTCACCTGGTGACTGAGACAATCTTGTTCATTCCTGTTTTGCCCCACACGAAATCTTATTAAGAAATTTTTATTTTTTTAAGTTATCTCTGCACTCAATGTGGGGCTGAAACCTACAATCCCAAGATCAAAAGTCGCATGCCTTTTGGAGACTGAGCCAGCTAGTGCCCCCACAGCAAATCTTATTTAAAAACATTCCTTGGGGCGTCTGGTGGGGCTGAGTGGCTTAAGCCTCTGCCTTCGGCTCAGGTCATGATCTCAGGGTCCTGGGATCAAGCCCCAAATCCAGTTTCCAGCTCAGCAGGGAGCCTGCTTCCCTTCCTCTCTCTCTGCCTGCCTCTCTGCCTACCTGTGATCTCTGTCAAATAAATAAATAAAATCTTTATAAATAAATAAATAAATAAAACAAAAAAGGAAGAGAGCATGAATTTGAGTCTAGGCCTGTGTGTGTGACTCCAAAGTTCTTTCCATTACCTGGCTGGGAAAATCTTGGGGGACAGGGGGAGTTCAGGGAAGGTTTCCCCCGAGAGGTAGCATTCTGGGGCAGGTCACGAAGGATAAGCAGGCATTTAACCCCCACACCAAGGGAGGGAAAGGCACTCTGGGCAGAGAGAATGGAGGCACAAGAAAGCTCACTGTCTATAAGTAGCAGCAGTCATGGCACCTCACATCTCTGGAGCTCTTACTCTGGTCCAGGAGCTGCTGTAAGCACTCATCAGGTGCCCCTCCTCTCAGCCTCAGCACGTACTGACATTTTAGGCATGTTAGTTCTTTGCTATTGGGGCTGTGCTATGTGTTAGACAGCACATAGTGGTTACAGCAGTTTTACCACTGCTGGATGCCAGTAGCCCCCTACCCGACTTGTGACAACCAAAAATGTCTCTGTCGAATGTCCTCTGGGGGGTCACAATCATCCCAGGCTGAGAACCACTGCTGTCATCCTACGAGGGCTGAACTATTATTTCGATCTTACAGGTGAGAAAATGTCAGTCGTCCACAGTTACACAACCAGGATGGTAATCCCAGGATCTGAACCAAGCTGCTTCTGGTAACCACTACGGTATGGCAAGCTTCCTGCCTGGGCTCTGTGCTCACTGGGGGGCAGATAACAGCAGGAGACAAGAAAGGAGGGGTGAGCTAGGGACAGCTCAGGTGACAGAGCCCAAGGTGATAGGGCCTCTGACAAAAGTGAAGGACCAGGGGCTGTGGGAGGCCAGAGGTGGCTTGCTTGTTAATGCAGTGCAAGGGAGGACAGGTCCTGAAGGCTTCCTAGAGGAAGTATGTCCACATGGCTACCTGGATGAGAAACAGGAATTAATGTGGTCAGGATGGGTGAGGGAGGGAGGGTCTTCAGGAAGAGAGGATGGCATGTGTAAACACACTGGCTTTGGGTGGGACCTGCCAGAGCCACAGGAAGCTGAAAAGTCACCAGGGGCCTGGTTGCAAACACCAGGCTGAGGGACTCAACCTTCCCCTGCAAGTGCTGAGCACCCACAGTCCTCTGTCCTCTCCAGAAGCCTCTGCCACCAGCTTACAGTCTTTTCCACTGGATTATGAATGTGTTGCAACAAACGAAACATGAAGTGTTTGCAAAGCACCCATGAGGAGCTTCTGCCCAAACCATGCCAGCTTGCTGGTGGATGCGGCCACCGAGGGCTAGAGGGACTGATCCAGTTCTCACCAACACCAATTCCTGCCGCCCCAGGGAAGTGACCTGAGGAACCAGAGCACCCCAGCCCCAAGCACTCACTAAGCACGGAGCCCCAATATTAACACTTTACACAGGTTAACTCACCGACTTCTTTAACCCAACCATGCTATCATCATCTCCACTGGACAGATGAGGACACTCAAGCACAGAAAGCTTTCATCACTTACTCAAGGTCACGCAACTAAGCAAGCGGTGTAGGGCGTCAACTGGCAGGTAGGCTTTCACATCCTCTTTCTGTCCCTGACGTCCAGTTTGAGGTAAACCTTTTTTTACCAATTTCTCAGCTGAAAGTATGTGGGTGGTGTTCCGACCTGCTCAAGTACTTAGTGAAAGAAACTTGCAAAGTAGGAGACTAAAACCAACACCAGAAACACCTGAACCTGTGAACCAAATACTAGTTTTTGGGTGAGAAAACCAACATTCTGCATCACAGCAGAATACCGCTTAGATAAACGTTTCTCACCTTTGGCACTATTTTTTGAACCAGATAATTCCTTACAGTGAGACACCAGCCCGTACACACTATGTTTGGAAGCATCCTTGGCCTCTACCTACCAAATACCAGTCACACCCTTCCCCTGCCTCCTTGTTGTGACAACCAAAAATGTCTCCAGAGAGTGCCAAATGTTCTCTGAGGTACAAAACCACGCCCAAACTGGGAACTGACTTATAGACTATCAGTAGGTTGCCTGAGGTTTTCAAACTCTCACCCACTCCTTGCTTTAAAAAGAGAAAATAGGGGGAACCTGGGTGGCTCAGTCGGTTAAGCATCTGCCTTTGGCTCAGGTCATAATTCCAGGGTCCTGGGATCAAGCCCTGCATTGGGGCTCCCCGCTCGGTGGGAAGCCTGCTTCTCCCTCTCCTACTCCCCTGCTTGGATTCCCTCTCTTGCTGTCTCTGTCAAATAAAAGAATAAAATCTGTAAATAAATAAATAAATAAATAAAAGAAAAATTAGGCCTGGTCACCAAAGGAAAGCCATCCCTGGTTATGAAAACTAAGTGAAAACAATGACAGTTTACTGCTTGGTGAACACTTTCTGTATTACCTCATTTATCTTCACCAATAGTCTAAAGGGCAGATTCTGCTATTACCCCCCGCCCCCATTACAGAGGAGGAATTTGAGATGCTGCCTGGAAATGCAGAGTCCATGCCAACTGCTCAGTAAGTACTGATCTTTCCCCCATGTCCTGGCTTGGAGCACTTGTAGCGTCTGGGTCCCTGCAGCTCCTGACATCTGGACCCTCCACATCGTGCTTCATCATCCTAATCTCCCCAGCCACGCCTGACACTCCTATGTCCCCCAGGGCAGAACCTGGCACACTGGAAGCCTCAGTCAATCACTAATGTATGAGCCCAATGACCCGGGGTTCAACCCTCTTGACAGCTTCAGAAGCTCCAAGGTCCCGCATCACCCTTCATTCTCAGTCCTCCCTATTAAGGGCTCACGGGGATTAGAGACAAGAGAATGTTGGAATATAACACGCGGGAGAGGAGGCAATTTGGGGGCTGGAAAGCGACTGAGGGGAGCAGGGCTCTGGCTGACTCTTGAGAGAATGCACCCTAACCCTGGGAACCTCCCATCTCATGGGTCTCACCTGCCCTCCATCCCGAGCTCCGCCTTCAACCCTGCAAGGCTGGAGGTGCGCGCACTTGTCACTGAGTCACACCGGTGCGTAACTGCTCACCCGGGTCACGCCCCGACCCGGGCACGCGCCTGGAGAAGCGCAAACCGCTCCTGTCAGCTCCGCGCACGCACAACCCCGCAGCTGCACGGCCGTGGCGCCCACCGCGGGCGCGCACCCACTCTCACTCCCACGGGGGCGCGCGCAGAAGCCCACGCTGTGTTCCGGGCGACGCGGCCAACCCGGGCACCTGCGCGGCGCACGTGCCGTCTCTCTCCCTTGCTCACCCCTATTCCTTTCTCCCTCCACCCCGACAACTCTCCACCCGCACCTCAAATCCTATCAGACTCTCATAAAGGCCGAAAACCTAAAAGACATCCATTGCGTCTTTACACTAAAGTACACAGCGCGAGATATCGTCTACAAACCACACGCCCCACCTGCTGTTGCGCAGGCGCAGACGACGGACGCGCCGGCGGGTCCTGGAGCACTCTGGGAGTCGTGGGCGGAGTGCGTGACGTCACCGCGAGGCTCTCAGGGTGTGAGATTACTGGGTCTCCGAGCACTAGGCGCTTCGGGCCAAACCGCCCCACCGGCACCTGGGAGTCGTAGGCGGGTAAACCCAAAGCCTTCTGGGAGTCGTAGTCCCTTCACCGCTTCCGCATTTTCTCGGAGCCTGGACTTTCCTGCGCGGGTTCTACTCACGTGAGTGTTCCCTTCCTCTGCGCGCGGATCCTCGCCCTTTGTCGTACTCCCGTGTAGGAGCTGAGGGTCTCCATATTACTCTCCCACGCATTCCGGTAGGCATCCCTGGAGATATGGCTCTCCTCCGTGATCCCCCAACGCATTGTCTCTGGCGACCCTCGGGGCTAGAGTGCCCTAAGCAGCTGGTGTCCCTGCCGATCCGCTTTGGACTCTGCCTGTGTTCGGACTCCTTCTCGTTTCCATCCCCCAACCTAAGGGTGGTCCCTCCTTTATCCTGATTACTACGTAGAGTGATCAGGGCTGGCGTGGGGGGCGTCAGGCAGCCGTGGGAGCCCAGAGGAGGTGCCAGAACCAGCCCAGGGTTCAGGAAGGACTTCCAGAGCAAAGGACCTCAAAATTTACCATGCCCAAACAAAATGACAGATTCTCTGGCCTAAACCTACGCCTCTCACAGTATTTGCCTAGTTTTCCTATTTCCCCCACCTCCTCTCCACGAAATGGTCCCACTATCCTTCCAGTGCTGAAGCCAGAACCCTGAAGTTGTCCGTGCTCTCTGCTTCTCTCACCTACTGCCTCGCTCAACCAAGTCTTGTGTGAGTCGCTCCTAATCAGTTTCCAGAAGAGATCCAGAATCTGACCCCTTCTCTCCACCTCCACTGCCTCTGCTCAGCCCTAAGCCGCATTATTGTTCACCTGGATCATCGCAGGGGCCTCCTTACTGATCTCCCCTCGCCACTCTCCACCCTCTGTTCACACGCAGCAGCCAGAGGAATCTTGTTAAAATATAAATCAGATACTGTCGCTACACAGCGTATAACCGTCCAGTGGTTCCCATCTCCTTCAGGATAAAATCCAACCTCCTCACCCTGCCAGCCTCCAAGCCCTGCTCCTCTTCCCTCCTCAGCCATAACTCACTTTCCAAACAACTGAACCTGAACTTGCCCTTCAGGGCTTTGCATTTGCTATTAAATCTGTCTGGAACGTTCTTCCCACCCTGATGTAATACCTGACTCCTCATCCTTCTGGCCTCAGCTCAGAGGATAATTCCTCCATGTTGCTCCTTATATTTGTAAGGTATCTTGGTTATTTACTTGTCAATGGTTTGGCTCCTCCACGAGAACTTGGTGCCAGCAACTGACCCTGTTTTGATCAGTGCTGTCCCAGTGCCTTATGCGTGTTGGGTAGATGGGAGGCAAAGAATGGTGTCTGTTGGATGGAGAATGAATAATGAACGCTTAAGCTGAGACTTGAAGGTGTCAAGCTTGCGCAAGTGCTGAGAGAGTAGTCCAGGCAATGGGTGTACTCAGTGCTATCCAGGCCGCCTCCCTAGAGGCAACGACCCGGCAAGCCGGCATCTGCATGTAACCCGCCTCCCCTCTCTCCCTGTCCAGGAGAAGCCAGCTCCTCCCCGCACACCCGGAACCCAGCCCGCGATGCCCGCTCCGCAGTGCTCCTCCTGCCACGCGGCGCGCGCGGCCCTCCGCCGCCCGCGCTCCGGCCAGGCGCTGTGCGGGCCCTGCTTCTGCACCGCCTTCGAGGCCGAGGTGCTGCACACGGTGCTGGCGGGCCGCCTGCTGCCGCCCGGCGCCGTGGTGGCCGTGGGCGCTTCCGGCGGCAAGGACTCCACGGTGCTGGCGCACGTGCTGCGCGAACTAGCGCCGCGCCTGGGCGTCTCGCTGCGCCTGGTGGCGGTGGACGAGGGCATCGGCGGCTACCGGGACGCGGCGCTGGCGGCCGTGCGGCGCCAGGCCGCGCGCTGGGACCTCCCGCTCACCGTCGTGGCCTACGCAGACCTCTTCGGGGGCTGGACGATGGACGCTGTGGCCCGCAGCACGGCCGGCACCGGCCGCAGCCGCGCCTGCTGCACCTTCTGCGGGGTGCTGCGGCGCCGCGCGCTGGAGGAAGGGGCGCGCCTCGTGGGAGCCACGCACATCGTCACGGGTGAGCGCAGGCACTGCAGCGGAGGGGCGAGGGCCGGCACCTAAAGGGGGCTGTGCACGGGCCCGATATCTGGTGGAGGAGATGCTGGGGGTGCCCCGGGTGGAGGATGTCCACGAGGAGAAGCGGATATGCGTGCCCGCTGAAGGCACACGGGCGTAGCACTCGCGGGCCGGGATGGGCACGGCAAGCTTTTGAGTCCCTGCCGTCACACTGGCAGCCAGAGGGGCGGAGGGGTACTCCCCGGGGCTGTGGTTCCCTGCATTTTAAAAATTGACGCTCCTTGTGTCCCCCTTCACAAAAGGAGGCCAGTGAAGTGGTACCACCCATCAGAAGCCAACTGTATTCTGAAACGCCCCTGTCCTTGAACTGCTTTTCTCTGTTAGCCTCTCCTCTCTGATAACCCTTACCCTCTCCCGGTCATTACTTCCACACGTGATTCTTGACCATTTACTGTGTAGCAGATACAAGCTCGGTGGTCCAGAGCGATACCTAGCCTCAGTTACCTCTTCTGTAAAATGGGGTTATTAATATCCAGGTCCCAAGGTTGTTGGGCATTAGATGACTTATGTGTGAGGCGCTTAGACCAGAGACTGGAAAATAGTAGACCTTACGCAAATGTCACACAAGACAGTCTCTGTGCCTGCTCTTCTCTCACACGCATATTTAAAACCTGAGAAGCTCTACTAAGGAAAATCGCACAGACTTTGCCAGTTTATAGCAGGAACACCCCGTGGAAGGAGAAAAGTAGGGGTTAGGAAGCATTTCCAGAGTGAGGCAAGTCCTGAAGGCCATTCAAGTAAGCAGTGGAGGGTGGACAGAGGGTTGGGTTCTGAGCAGAGGAAACAGCTTATGCAAAGGCCCTGAGGAGGGTTAGTATGGCCTATTGGAAAAGCCCTGAGAAGACCAGTGTTTTACTATCTGGATTATACAGACTCACATTTAAGATGACAAGATGCAAATTAGTAGAGATTTAGCTTATGTTTTTTATGGCGATTGTTGTGTAAATCTTTCCTTACCTCCTTCCTGGTCTTTCTAAATGCGGTGATCTGCATTCCCAGAGGCTCAAGGCTCACTTGAGACTCTCCGCTGTTTAATGTCATTTTGACTTCTGTGCAGTGGGAAGCACACTTCTGAGACTGAAATGGTATTTGTAGTGCAAAGCACTTTTACTACTTTCTGAAAAGGCAACTAGCACAGGGCCTGGTTGGTAATAAGTGGGAGGCTAATGAGGGCACCCCGAGTTGCTCCCTGGGAGCCTGTGTGTGTTCCCCTCTTGTTTCTCACGGTGACCACCTCCAGCCTCCACCAGGCTGGCCCATGGTGCCCAGGGGCCTCCGTGGCCCTGTCTGGCCCCTCCCTGCTGCTCCCCACACCCCTTATGCATCTCTCTAGGTCCTGGCTGCTGCATAGTGTCTAGGGTGTGAGGTCTCCATGGCCCGGTCACCCACTCTGCCACTTTCCACATCCCCGTCTCTCTCTGGGTTCTTGGGATGGGGTCTCCACGGCCCGGTCGCACACTCCGTGCCGCTCTCCAGGCCCCTCCCCGTCTGGCTGGGTCACCGCTACCCCACGGTGGCGCCCCTGCCTCACCTGCTCCCCCTCTCTCCCCCAGGCCACAACGCCGACGACATGGCCGAGACCGTGCTCATGAACTTCCTGCGGGGCGACGCGGGGCGGCTGGCCCGGGGCGGGGGCCTGGGCTCGCGGGGCGAGGGGGGCGCCCTGCCGCGCTGCCGCCCCCTGCAGCTGGCCTCGCAGAAGGAGGTGGTGCTGTACGCGCACTTCCGCCGCCTCGACTACTTCTCCGAGGAGTGCGTCTACGCGCCCGAGGCCTTCCGCGGCCACGCGCGCGACCTGCTCAAGCTCCTGGAGGCGGCGCGGCCGTCGGCGGCGCTGGACCTGGTGCACTCGGCCGAGCGCCTGGCCCTGGCCCCGGCCGCGCGGCCCCCGCCCCCCGGCGCCTGCTCCCGCTGCGGGGCGCTGGCCAGCCGCGCGCTCTGCCAGGCCTGCGCCCTCCTGGACGGCCTGCAGCGCGGCCGGCCCCGCCTGGCCATCGGCAAGGGCCGCGGGGGGCGCGACGAGGAGGGGCCGCCAGGGCCGCCGCCCCCGCCGCCCAGCAACCCCGGGTCTGCGCCGGGCCCCGCCGCCGGGGAGTGCGGGGCAGCCTGTAAGGAGCGCTGCGAATAAACCCCCCTCTGCCCGGGGCTTCGGTGTGAGGTTTAGAGGGGGATGGACGGGACCAGCCAGAAGCTGAGGCTGGGACCCCTGGGTCTGAGGGAGAAGGGACTGGGACGGGAACTCTTGGATCTAAAAGAGAAGAGAACTGAACAACTTCCCATTCCCAACCAGGGGAATTAGGGAGCTGCTTACTTAGTACTCTGCCCAGTTCTGGGCATGCGCAGGATAGTCCAAGCCTTCTTGAGCACCTACTGTGTGTCATGTTTGCCTGTAGAGGGATTTGACTTGACTTGGCAGGTGACTTGACTTGACACTTGACTTGGCAGGTGGTCTCTGGTCATGTCCAGTAACCATGATGCTTATCTCTGAGGGCTGTGAGTACTACCACGCCACAAGGTCTCATTTCATCCAAACCACACACCATCTCATTGGCCTAAGGCCCCCTAACTGCCTGAGGTCACCTAGCTGGAGAAGGACGGAACTGGGGGCTCCCACCCAAATCCGCACCTGGAGCTCAAGACGGTGGACTTGCTCCCCACCCCCACCTGAATCTCTCCTGATGTTTCTGTGTGATGGGAGAGGAGCAGCTGGGTGGGCCTGGGTCAGTGACCTAACCTCTCTGGTCTTCGGTTTCCTCCTCTGAAATGGAATTGCACCCCTCCACCCCCCATCAAAGCACTGTTGTGAGGATTAGAAGTGCTCAACACGTAGTGGCCAACTTCATGGGTCGTATTACATTTTGGCCACCAGGGGGCTCTGGGTTTCAGATTTGCTACTCCGTGCTTCCCGGAGGGTGTGAGGCGAGGAGGAGCTTCCTGCGTGACCCCTGGGGAGAGATTTGGCTTTCTCTTTCCCCCTCCAAGTTCTGCTGGCTTGGTCGCTTGTCAGGAATGCCGTGCCTTTGCCATCTTCTTTCTCAAATCCTCCAGGGGACTTCTAGAAGCCTTCCTGACTCTCTCTTCTCACCTGCCCAGCCCGGGACATAGGGCTCTTCCCAAGTCCCAGCTCCCGGGGCCTGCCCTCATGTGTGGCCACCCACACTCTGGTTCTTGTTCTCCCTAACTGGAATGAGGTTTGAGGGCAGATCTCCCGCCCCACCAGATAACCAGCATCATTTATTCAGTATGTATGGAATCCCTAATGTGTGCAGGGACATTTCTAGACATTGTTGAAAAAAACAACAACAAACAAAACCCTCTCGCTCAGGGCCCCTGGCTGGCTTGGTCGGTGGAGCATGCAGTTCTCAATATTGGGGTCGTGAGTTCGAGCCCCACATTGGGTGTAGAGATCACGAAAAATAAATAAATAAACTTAAAAAAAAAAAAAAAGTCTCACTCATGGAGCTTCCAGTATTGCCAGAGAGGGACACTAGACAAATCAGGAAGCCTGATGAAGGCTGCTATGAATAACAAAGCAGCGGAAGGGGAAGGGGTGTGAGGCAGGTGCTGTATCAGTTCAGGAGGTCAGGGTTTGAGAAAGCGACTTCAACAGAGACCGAAATAAAGCAAGGAAGGTTTCTAGCTATGTCGGAGTATCTTGGGTTTGAACAACACTGCCACTGAGACCAACTGAAAAGAAAAAATGGATCTATAACAAAGCAGTCTCTTTGAAGACATCAAAGAGGTACCAAGGCGGCCAGGATCCTACAGAAGAGGCTCATTTTTGCTGCAGGGGCTCGTTTCTGCTGAGGAACGGGCAGAAAGCATGGGCTAAGAGGCTGGGGATCTGAGCGGAGCTTTCAACATTGTGATGGGACAGGAGACAGTATTGGAGTCCGGGACTAGTGGGTGGGGACTCAAGGGGCCAGAATCGGGGGTGAAGGGATGAGCATTGAGGTCAGCCAGACACTGTGTTCATATGTTCTCCTGGAGGGTTTCATGGAACCGGGTTAATAAATTGGATGCTCAGGGTCTCGTACAAAATAGAGGCCTGGTAAGCACTGTTAGCACCCAAATAAGGTCACAAATTAGAAGTAAGGGTCACCTAGGGGCGCCTGTGTGGCTTAGTGGGTTAAGCCTCTGCCTTTGTCTCAGGTCATGATCTCCGGGTCCTGGCATGGAGCCCTGCATTGGGCTCTCTGCTTGGCGGTTAGCCTGCTTCTCCCTCTCTCTCTGCCTGCCTCTCTGTCTGCTTGTGATCTCTCTGTTAAATAAATAAATGAAATCTTTAAAAAAAAAAAAAAAGAAGAAGAAGAAGAAGAAGAGGTAGGGTCACCTAGAAATAGACCCATCCACAAAAACACCAGAACCTAGCTTCAAGCACACTCAATCCCAGACCGGTGAAGAAGGTCCCTACTTTGCTTGTCAGAAAGCAGAAGCAGGGGTAGCCCTAGCTGCTGAGCCTATTTACCCTTATGTTGATTAAAATTGAATTTAGGGGCTCTTGCTTTCAGCTCAGGTCATGATCTCAGGGTCCTGGGATGGAGCCTCATGTAGGACTCCGTGCTCAGCAGGGAGTCTGCTTCCCTTCTCTCTCTATCCCTCTGATCCTCTCCCCCACTTATGTGCGCTGGGAGAGGGTCTCTCTCTCTCTCTCTCTGAAATACATCTTTTAAAAATTTTTATTTAATTCAAAACACAGTTCTTTGGTTACACTAAACCCATGTCAAGTGCTCCACAGCCACACACAGCCGGTGGCTGCCATACAAAGCCATGCAGACACATTCTTCCCATTGTCACAGAACCTTCCCTTTTGCAGAGCTGTTCTAGAGACTTCTAGAATCCAGGGGGGGAAGATAGCCACCCAAGCCTCAGGAAATCTCTGCAATTTTCATACAAAAGACCTGACTTTCGATTTAAAAATCTGCCAGGGGAAAGGAAAAAATGATGGCATACGGAGAGAAAAACAGCATAGACATGACCACGGGTGATCTTGATGGAGAAGTTTTCGGTGTGGACTGGAACCGTTATCACCATGCTTAAGAAAATAGACAATAAAATGGAAAATTTCATTGTTGAATCGGATTGCATTTTTTAAAAACACCAGACAGGATCAAATCACCAATACAAGACTTCGCTCCTAATGTAGACAAGTATAAAACTGTATGTAGCGTGTGGGGCAGTTCACTGTCTCACTCCCCGTGCAGGCTCTCTTCCCTGATGACCAACACCAGCCTCAAGCCCACTACCACCCACCTGGCCAGGTGCCCACAGAGGCAACGGCTGCTCAGAGAACTTTCTGGAAGCTCCCACTTTGGGCTCCCATGTTGGCAGCTGCACTTCTCTGTAAACTCTGACATGCTCCCTCCCCCCACACGCACCTGTACTTCAGGTGAGCTGTGGACGGATGATGCTCTCTCTTTCCCCTCCTGCCCCCTCTGGGACCCTTCTCCCCAGTGACGACCCGGGAGGAAAAAGCTGAGCTCTTTTCACTGCAGAACAGGTGTAACCTGTCACGGGGCCCCTCCCCTTGCACTCCCCACTCAGGTTGCCTCATCCCAAGTTCATTCCGCCCCCCCCACCTCAGAATATGGATGCGGGGTATCCCTGTCCACTCAGGATTCTTGGACCACTCTCTCAGAGCAGGAGCGTCTGGGGGCCAGGACTTACCTGAAACTGAATCTTTTCTGCATTCTGGCTCTTAGCCCAGACTTGGTCAGACACGAAGCCTCCAGAAAGCAAGGCTGAACCCAGGTTCATCTGCAGGGATCCCTAGGGCCCACCCACCACTAGAACTGAGATCTGGGGCCCTGGCTCCGGCCCCAGACTTGCCTGTGATGTTTGCAGGTTTATGGTGTCAATATGAACTCAGGACCTGTGTGTGGCTCGTTCTTGGGTTTCCCTGGGGCCCTACAAGTCACTCATCTTCAGAATGAGTCCTAACCTCAGCATTTCCTTTAGCTCCATGAGGCTTCCTCTGGTACTTACTGGATCTTCCCTCCTTACCCACCCCTGTTTCCCCCGATCTCGAGGCCTGACTGAGACCTGAATATTTACCTTTCATATAAAATGAAGGAAAACTTAGAATTTATCTCTGTGACCCATCAGCTCCCAACATAAGATCTCAGCCTGACTTCTGATGCTTCATTCCTTCAACGGAGCTGAATCAGAGCTCACCATGGCACTAGGCACAGAGCAGGATCACAAATCATGCTGTCATCGAGTTCCTTGGCGCTACAAGGAAGGGATTAAAAGCAGGAGCAGGGACACCTGGGTAGCTCAGTTGGTTAAGCATCTGCCTTCAGCTCAGGTCATGATCCCTGGGTCCTGGGATCAAGTCCCACATCAGGATCCCTGCTCAGCAGGGAGCCGCCGTCTCCCTCTGCCTACTGCTCCCCCTGCTTGTGCTCTCTATGACAAATAAATAAATTTTTTTTAAAAAAGCACAAGCAAATATCAACACATGGAAAGTGAGGGGAAGAAGGGGAGCAATGGGACCCAGAGAAGGTTTTCTGGAGGGCGTGAAGGCAGAGTCAGCACTGGGGGCAAGGCATCCCGTGTTCTGTGAGAAGTGCATTTTGTCTATGACGTTAAATAAGCCCCCAGGATGAGGAGGTTCTCAGAGGAAAAGGGGACGCTTGGCCAGTACCTCTGCCCCTAGGACAGAGTATCACACCAGTCCCATTCCCCAGCCCTCCTGTCTGCATCTGAGACAGCTCAGGGATCTGCCTCCAGGGGGCGCTCCACCTACAATGCCAGACCTGGAGACCTCCCCGCCCAAGGGTTGGCGCTGTCCGTGGTTCTGGAGCAAAGCTGGGTGAGTTCAGGACCCCCCAACTCTGCCAAGGACCCCAATCCACAGGCACAAGTTCCCGAGCTCTAGGCCAGCAGGGCACCTAAGTCGGAGCGGTTTCCGAAAGGCTGGGTCCCTCCTGGCAAGGAGGATCCAGAAGAAGTGGTGGGAGTGGGCTGGGCTCATCTCTGCTTTTCCCTTCAGCCCTCTTGTTGCCCTAACATTCTTTGGACCTTGTGGTGCAAGCCTGGTGAAGAGATAAGGAGGAACAAGGTCTTCTGTGAGGTTCCAGATTATGCTCATGCTGCTGGCCTTTGACCCAAAGTATTTTTTTAAAGATTTTATTTATTTATTTGAGAGAGAAAGAGAGAGAACATGCCCACGACAGCAGAGGAGAGCAGCAGAGGGAGAGGGAGAAGCAGGCTCCCCGCTGAGCAGGGAGTCTGACAGGGGACCTGATCCCAGGACCCCAGAATCATGCCCTAAGCTGAAGGCAGATGCTTAACGACTGAGCCACACAGGCATCCTGGACCACACTTACTAGCAAGTCTGTGCCCAGATCTCCCCTCAAGTAGAGGATAGGAAAGAGGTGGGTGTTCACTGGAGCTCCTCCTGTGCCAGGCTCAGGACTGTGCCTTTCTGCACATTGCCCCCACTGAACTTTCACGACCACCCCTAGAGAGGACTGGCTAACAATTCCCATCTGGCAGAGTGGGAAATGAGACTCGAAGTGGTAAGCAACCATCACAGGGTCTCACATCGTTGATGAATATTTGGAGGCTGGACTCGTGACCCACACATGCTTGAGGCCATAGAGAGGGATACCTTAATCCATGGCACTCTGGTCCTAGAAAAGGAGATGATGCACAGTGGGGAGGTGTCTTATTTGTAAGGGATAGGACTTATCTTATCAGATAAGGACTATCTGACAGTAGTCCAGGACTGATGGCAGCCACAGACAGCAGGAGCGATCTCCATAGGAGGAGGAGTCTAAAGGAATCAACATCATGTCTCCAAGGACCAGCCCCTATGCCATCTTCCAACTGGTCCAGGAGACTCTGCTGCTAATGAACATGCAACATGCTCACAAGTATTAACAGTGGATTTCACTTTGCATTTGCAACCGGAATGTCCCTAGAAGAGGAAGTTCCCTAGAGAACTTCATATGTTAGGGAAGCTACCAAGCTTATCAGGCCACCACTAAGAATTACGATCTCAGTGTGACCTACAGAGAGGGTAGTTTTTAGGCCAGCTATGGAGAAGCAGGGGACTGGGGAAGAAGCTGTGTTGCTGCCCCTCCGAACAATTTGTTACTTAAATTGTAACCCTTGGAGGATTTTACTAGTTGCCAAGCACATTTAGATGTGGCCTTAAGAAATACATATACCGGCAACAGGTCTTTGGGGAGGACGATATACGACCGTGAAGCTGGGCAGCTAGGGATGCCCCAGCTCGCTCGTGGTGGGAGGCTGCCCCTTCACAGAAGCCGAGCACCCAGGAATGCCCAGCCCGCCCCGGGCAGAATGCCGCCTGCTTCAGGGAAGCCGAGCACCCGGGAACGCCCGGTCAGCTCAGGGAGGAACCAAAACCGCATGCTTCCCTTTTCCGTGATTGCTCCTTTCTCTTCCCAGAAGCGCCCGTTGTTAGTTAGATGAGTCCTTTGAATGTGCTTGGTTAACTATAAACTTTGTCCTCCTCCTCGCTTGTCCGCAAGCCCAGACTAACATCTGACCTTCATCGGTCCTTCTGTTGGCTGTTGTTTCTATCTAATAAAAGTGAGACTGTGGAGTTGCTGGTGGCAGCAGTCCTTTTCGAGGGTTGTCCCCTGCTCCCAATCTCTTGCAGCTGACTTGTTTGTGCCTAATTCTTCTTCCGTCGCCGGCTGGAAGTGGCAAAGCTGTGCATGAGCAGGAAGAATGTGCAGGAATTTGTTTAAAAAAAAAAGGCAAAACACCTCTGGGACACCTGCCTGGCTCAGTTTGTGGAACATGCAGCTCCTGATCTCAGGTTTGTGAGTTTGATCTCCAGTTTGGGTGTAGAGATTACGTAAAAATAAAATCTTAAGAAAAAAAAAAACCCTCGTATCATCTTCTACCTGTCAGAATGGCTAAAATCAAAAACATAAAATCTGGCTGGCTCAGTCAGAAGAGCATGTGAGTTTGAGCCCCATGTTGGCTGTAGAGATAACTAAAACAAAATAAACTTCCTCCCCAGAGGTTTTATTTATTTACTTGAGAGACAGAGAGAGAGAATGAGCAAGGAGGAGAGGGAGAAGCAGGCTCCCCCCTGAACAGGAAGCCTAATTTGGGGCTCTATCCCAGGACCCCAGGGACAAGACAGGACAGGACAACCTGAGCCAAAGACAGAGGCTTAACCGACTGAGCCATCGAGGTGCTCCTAAAACAAAATAAACTAAAACAAAACAAAAGCAAAGCCAAGAAACAACAAGTGTTGGAGAGGCTGTGGAGAAAAAGGAACCCTCCTGCACTGTTGGTAGGAATGCAAGCTGGTGCAGCCACTGTGCAGAACGGTTTGGAGTCTCCTCAAAAAGCTAAAAATAGAACTACCGCGGTATCCGTAATCGCACTGAGTATTTACCCCAAGAATACAAAAACACTAAATCCAAAAGGTATATGTTTTGGAATTTACCTACGTTTACTGCAGCATTACTTACATCATAATAATTTGGCTATTATTTACAATAGCCAAATTATGGAAGCAGCCAAAGTGTCCACTGGTAGGTGAATGGATAAAGAAGATATGGGATATTAGCCATAATCTTCTAATAATCTTCCAATAATATTGCAACGCAGTGGAATATTAGTGTAAGGACCTATTCAGCCAGAGCAGCCCACCCCGGTTGAACTGCCATTTTGCTGTAAAGCTTAAATTGACCTTTAAGCAGTCCCAGGTAACAAAGTCCAAGTCCAAGGGTGGGTCAGGCCAGGTGGAGGCATTCAATCAGCGGGGGGCCCATACTGTCTCCTAGCTACCAAGGAGTATGGGCCCCCGCCCTTTGGGAGCCTTTTGGCGCCAATCCTAACCAAGGTGTGATAGGCTGGTTCAAATGTCGACTAGGGTAAATTGTAATTCAGTTGGTCACCTAGCATCACTGTGGAGTTTCCTGCGTGTGTTACAATCTCATTGGCCACCTGTGTGTGGCCAGGCCCAACCGCATGGCCTTTGCTCTATAAAAGTTAGCCTGGAAAGCAGGGAGGGGTCGTCCTCTCTGGAGGGGCGGCCCCGACCAGGTTGTTTGACGGTCGGTATGATTCCTGATGCTTGGCGCGAAATAAAGCTTTGCTTGACCTTCGCTTTGCATTAGTCTCGCTCCTTTAATCACGGACCCATTATTGGGGTACCCAATTTTGGGGGGGACCCAACATTAGCCATACACAGGAATGAAATCTTGCCTTTTGCAACAACATGTATAGAACTGGAAAGTACAACGCTAAGTGAAATAAGTCAGGGAAAGACAAATGCCATATGATTTCACTCGTATGTGAAATTTGAGAAACAAAACAAATGAACAAAGAAAAAAGAGACAAACCAACAGACTCTTAACTATGGAGAACTGAAGGGAGTGGCATTAGGTGGGGGGATGGGTGAAATAGGAGAAGGGGATTAAGAGTACGTGTACCACGATGAGCACTGAGTAATGTACAGAACTGCTGAATCATTGTACTGTACAGCTGAAACTAATATGACATTAACTATACTGGAATTAAAAAAAATAGTGTCATTTAGGCCAAATCCCAAACTGGGACTTAACACAAAACCTAACTGCAGTTTCAGTCTCCTATCATCAGGGCTCAGGAGTGCAGGAGCAGCTGGCTCCAGGAGTCCCAGACAGATGGGTTCAGCCACTCCAAAGATAGAGACACAAGCGGTGGTGAAACAAGGCAGGACTTTACTCCAGGGAGGCCAACACTGGGACCACAGTGGACTAACGTCTCCAAGACTGTCTTCAGAGTGCTGAAAATCTTCCTAAGTTTATATGAGGAAAATGTGGGCAGCGCCGGGGTGGCTCAGTCGGTTAAGTGTCCGACTTGTTTTCAGCTCAGGTTATGATCTCAGCTCAGGTTATGATCTCAGGGTTGTCCGATTGAGCCCCACATCGGGCTCCACGCTCAGCACAGAGTCAGCTTGAGATTCTCTCTCTCTCTGCCCCTCCCTCCCCACTCCCATCCCTCGCACACACTCGTGCTCTCTCTTAAAAAAAAAAAAAAAAAGAAAGAAAGAAAGGGGAGCCTGGGTGGGTCAGTTGTTAGGCATCTGCCTTCGGCTCAGATCATGATCCCAACATCCTGGGATCGAGCCCCACGTCAGACTCCCTGCTCGGCAGGGACCCTGCTTCTCCCTCTCCAGTTCCCCCTGCTTATGTTCCCGCTCTTGCTTTCTCTAAGTCAGATAAATAAAATCTTTTAAAAATACAATAAAAATTAAAAATAAAAAAAAAGAAAAGAAAGTACGTGAGGAAGAGCGGTGGGGCATGCTGTTAGGCAGGATAGGTCTGGTGGATGGTTGTCTTGGGGTCAGACCTACTGGGTCTCGCTGGCTCAAGGCAGTGCTTATTGGTTGAGGGGGTAGTTTCACTTCCCATCGCAGATGCTCCCCGCTCCTCCAAGGTCTCTTGCCTGAGTTCAGAGATAAGCTGGAATGAAGAACTTAATCAATTAGAAAGTACAGACTAAGGCAGCACCTGCATGGCTCAGTCTCGTGAAGGGTCCAATTCTTGACCTCAGCTCAGGTCTTGATCTCAGCGTGATGAGTTCAAGCCCCAGGCTGGGCTTCACGCTGGGCATGGAGACTACTTCAAAAAAAAAAGTACAGACTGAGGTCAAAGTGGAGCTGGTTGACATCCTCTGTCATTCCCCAGAGACGCAGTCCTAGCTGGTCAGTCAGGAATTTTCTGATCAGCGCCAAAGAGTCTGCCACAAGGGCTCCTCCATCCCCCAAAGGAAGATGAGGTAATCTTAGGCAGACACCCCTTACCTTCACCTCTCCACACAAGAGAAAGCAGCCTAGCCTGGACCAATCCTTTTCTCGTGCTATAACTTTCTTGCCCTACCTCCTTCTAGAAAAATTTCCATTTTGTACCTTAATTAAAAGCTTAATGTCAGGCACTTAACGATCAGGAAAGCTCAGAAAAGCTCATTGGGCACTGGCATGACAGTGCTGCTGGGGAAGTTTCAGCAGCTTTCATTTTAGTGCTTTCTTGAGAAAAAAAAAAATAACAAGTTAGTTCAACTTTACAGGAGAGGCGAGAATGAGCTCTTTCTTCCAGGCTCGAGCCGCAGTGCGTGCAAGGACTCAGGGGCGAAGGACAAGCCCCTGGACACCAGGTGAAACGAAGAGGCAGGGCCTCCAGGGGAGGGATCTCAAACTGCACAGCCATGGGCTGGAACAACACAGAGGTTGTAAGGAAGAAAGCAGAGAGAAGTGCAGATGAGCGGGGCCAAGGAACAAAAATTCCACCGAGTAAATCTGAGAATGTAATTGGCTTTATTCAATGACTCCTGAATCAGGCAGCATCCCATCCCGTAAAGAGACAGGCACTCTGAGGGGCTGCACGTAGGGGAAAGTTTTTATAGGCAGGAGGGTGGGGCAAGGGAGTTATTATCAAAAGAAAAGATTTTTTTTTTCAGGTCGGGCCATTTTTGGGGGGAAGCTCTCACCCAGCTGGTGACCTCCTCAGGGCTGATTAGGAAATTTCAGATCCTCTGTTGAAAGGCCACATTTCTGGGAGAGGTTGAGACTGCTGCTACTCTTGGTTTGCTCAGTTGTGGGGGCAAGTGTCTCCACTTCGCGTCTGTGGTTTCTTTTCCAACAGTAGCTAGCAGGGAGGGCGTGATGGACTTTAAAAGCCGGGGGCAGCCAATGCTCGTGATGTATTGTCTAAGGCTAGGGAGCCTTGAAGGCGGTTGTGCAGGAGACCCGGGGTCAGCTCTCTGGCTGCTGGACACATCGCTGTGGGGCCCATCCGTGAGACAGGGAAGGGACTGGAGGTCAGGAGGTGAAGGAATGTGCTGGAAGAATTGACAGGTACAAGTGGGATGAGGAGAAGACTCCACAGAGATGATAAGAGGCACATATGTCATGAAGCAAACACCAGGCTGAGCGACTGGTCTTTCTTTCCCTGGGGGGGCTCTGAAGAGCTCTGGGAAGGAGAATGACACCAGCAGGTCACTACGCTGTGCTCCGGGCCTGGTCATCCCGAGCCCCAGGGTAACTTGCCAATTATTTTTCTGTCCAAAGAAGAGAGAGCAGTAGGTACTGAGCACAGGTAAGGCAGTTGAGACGGGACTTTTGTTGGTTGATTTCTGTGTGTTAATTTCTTTAATGTCCACAACCACCTCTGAGGCAGAATGCGCGATCTCTGATTTACAGAACGGGAAACTGAGGCACAGAAAGGTGAAGGACTTCCTTGGCAGCCTACATGAGAGCCCAAGTCGGCTCTACCTGGTGACGCTCGGCCAGTCCTTCCTGTTCATATTGCCACAGGGGTCCACATGCTTTGCTGATTAGTGCCTGACTTCTCCTCTGCCCTAGGAGCTGCGATTCCTCGGGCCAGCCCCAAGCTCTAAGCCGTCCTCATTTGTCTTGATCTCTGAGTACTCGCTGGCGCTGGCGCTCTCCTCATCCTTAGGCTCCCTCAGCTTCATCCCTTGAAAGCTGAAGGAGGCGTAATGGAGCTCCTGTTGCTCCCCTGAGGGAGGGGCATCCCCAGCAGGGGTTGCTTGGGTTGGGGGGCTGTCTGGACAGGACTTTTGCCTGGAACCCTGAAGAAAGGAGGAACAAGGGAGTCAGAGAAGAAATAAGGCAAGTATGGGATAATGGGACATTTATTCATTCATTCATTCATCCACCTATTCACACACACTTCCTATGAATCCAACGCTTCACTCATTCATTTAAAATCCTGTAATGCTGGGGAGCCTGGGTGGCTCAGTCGGTTAAGCATCTGCCTTCGGCTCAGGTCATGATCCCAGGGTCCCAGTCCCAGGACTGAGTCTTGCATCGGGTTCCCTGCTCAGCAGAGATCCTGCTTCTTCCTTTGTCCCTCCCCCGACTCATGCTCTCCCTCAAATAAATAAATAAATAAAATCTTTAAAAAAATAAAATAAAATTCTGTAATGCTACGACTGATTAGGCCATATTGAAGGCTTACTAATCAGTTTAATCCCCACAGTGTGAAGGATACTGATTTCCCCCATTTTACAGATTAGGGAGACTGAGGTGGGGGAAGGTAAAGTAACTTGCCCTCTAGTCACCAGCAGAGCCAGGAACAAAATGAATTCTGTTGTGTTATTGGAAATAAAAAGGGGAGGAAATACTCGGACAAAATAAAGATTAAATTCCCAGAATTGAAGAAAGATAAACCAACGCAGCTGAAAAGGGCCCCACAAATGGAAGATTTTAAAAAGAGCAGGGGAGGGGCACCTGGATGGCTCAGTGGGTTAAAGCCATGCCTTCGGCTCGGGTCATGATCCCTCGAACCCCACATAGGGCTCTCTGCTCAGTGGGGAGCCTGCTTCCTCCTCTCTCTCTGCCTGCTTCTCTGCCTACTTGTGATCTCTGTCAAATAAATAAAATCTTAAAAAAATAATAAAAAATTTAAAAAAAAATTTAAAGAGCAGGGAAACCACATACCCTAATACAGCACAGTAAATCTTAAGAATACCAAAACTGGGGGCGCCTGGGTGGCTCAGTGGGTTAAGCGACTGACTTCAGTTCGGGTCATGATCTCAGGGTCCTGGGATCAAGCCCCCACATCTGGCTCTTTGCTCGGGAGCCTGCTTCTCCCTCTCTCTCTGCCTGTCACTCCCCCAGCTTGTGTGGGCCCTCTGTGCTCTTTCTCTGTGTGTGTGTCAAATAAACAAACAAAATCTTAAAAAAAAAAAAGAATATCAAAACTGAAGAGAAAAATGTAAAAGTTTCCAGTGACAATGAGTGGATCGCTTAGAAATGTGCAAGATTCATAAAGACATAAAATTTCCTTTTCTTTTTTTTTCCTTTTTTTTTTTTTTTTGAGAGAGAGACAGAGCGCATGTATGCAAGCAGGGGGAGGGGCAGAAGGAGAGGGAGAGAGAATCTCAAGCAGATTCCCCAGTGAGCACAGAGCCTGACATGGGGCTAGATGTCACGATCCTGAGATCATGACCTGAGCTGAAATCAAGAGTCAGAAACTTAATCACCTGAGCCACCCAGGTGTCCCTAGACATAACCTTTCTTAACCGTGACACTGGGTACAAGAAACAAGAGAGTACAGTGTTGAAAGCATTGAAGAAAGAGGGTGCATGGCTGGCTCAGTGGGTAGAGCTTGTGACTCTTAATCTTGGGGCTGCAAGTTTGAGTCCCATGTTGGGTATAAAGATTCCTTAAAGGATAAATAAGATAAAATAATAAAATAAAACATTGAAGGAACATCAGTTTGATCCTAGAAATTATATCCTGCCAAATGAAATTCAAATGTAGGAGCATGAAAAAAAATTTCAAACACACAAGTCCTCAGAAGTCTTAACACAAGAAAACCCATATTAAAAGCATATTGGGAGGAAGAATTCAAATAAAAGTAACAAAACCTGAAAATGCTGCAATAAATCTGGGGTACAAAGGTGACAAAGTACCCCAGTAAAATGTGTGGCTGTATCTTAAAAGACCAAATTTAAAAATGTTAAGTATGTTCATAATAACCCAGAATGAAAAATGAAGATCTAGAAAAAGCACCAATATCTTGGAAAGTGGAGGGAAAGGAGAACAAAAGATATATAAAAGAACACTAAAGTTTTTTGTTGGATACAAGAGAGATATTAACTTTTTAAGAAAGGAGAAAATGGAATATTGAAAAAAATGGAACGTAAAGGATAAAGTATTTCTAAAATATGTGGGCTCACAACACTGAGATCAAGAGTCACAGGCTCTTCCTACTGAGCCAGAAGGTGCCCCGTGATAATTTTTAAATCGAAAAAAAAAAAGCCCATTAAAATGGCCAACAAACACATGAAAAATTGCTCAATATCACTTGCATCATGGAAATACAAAGCAAAAACCACAATGAGATACCATCTCACACCAGTCAAAATGGCTAAAATTAACAAGTCAGGAAACGACAGATGTTGGCAAGGATGTGGAGAAAGGGGAACCCTCTTACACTGTTGGTGGGAAGGCAAGCTGGTGCAGCCACTCTAGAAAACAGCATGGAAGTTCCTCAAAAAGTTGAAAATAAGGGCACTTGGGTGGCTCAGAGGGTTAAGCCTCTGCCTTCAGCTCAGGTCATGGTCTCAGGGTCCTGGGATTGAGCCCCGCATCGGGCTCTCCGCTAGGTGAGGAGCCTGCTTCCCCCTTTCTCTCTCTGCCTGCCTCTCTGCCTCCTTATGATCTCTCTCTCTGTCAAATAAATAAATAAAATGTTTTTTTAAAAAAGGTTGAAAATAGAGCTACCCTATGACCCAGCAGTTGCACTACTGGGTAATTACCCTAAAGATACAAATATAGTGATCCAAAGGGGCACATGTACCCGAATGTTTATAGCAGTAATGTCCATAATAGCCAAACTATGGAAAGAACCTAGATGTCCATCAACAGATGAATGAACAAAGAATATGTAGTATATATACACAATGGAATACTATGCAGCCATCAAAGGAAATGAAATCTTGCCATTTGCAGTGACGTAGATGGAACTAGAGGGTATTATGTTAAGCAAGATAAGTCAGCAAAAGACAATTATCATATGATCTCTCTGATATGAGTAATTTAAGAAACAAAACAGAGGATCATAGGGGAAGAGAGGGAAAAAAGCAAGAAGAAATCATAGAGGGAGACAAACCATAAGAGACTCTTAATCGTAGGAAACAAACTGAGGGTTGTTGGAGGAGTGGGGGTGGGGGATGCAGTGATAGGGGGTGATAGGCATTAAGGAGGACATGGGATGTAATGAGCACTGGGTGTTATATAAGACCGATGGATCACTGAGCTGTACCTATGAAACCAGTAATATATTACATGTTATTTTTTTTTAAAACCTGTTAAAAATACTTCAGCGTCGGGGTGCCTGGGTGGCTCAGTGGGTTAAAGCCTCTGCCTTCGGCTCAGGTCATGATCCCAGGGTCCTGGGATTGAGCCCCACATCGGACTCTCTGCTCAGCGGGGAGTTTGCTTCCTCCTCTCTCTCTGCCTGCCTCTCTGCCTACTTGTGATCTCTGTCCGTCAAACAAATAAATAAAAATCTTCAAAAAAATACTTCAATGTCTATATACAAATTATTAGAACTAACAAGGGAGCTTAGGGGTGCCTGGCTGGCTCAGTCGGTGGACCATGCACCTCTTGATTTCAGGGTTTGTAAGTCTGAGCCCCACAATGGGTGTAGAGATTACTTAAAAATAGAATCTTTAGGGGCGCCTGGGTGGCTCAGTGGGTTAAGCCTCTGCCTTCGGCTCAGGTCATGATCTCAGGGTCCTGGGATTGAGCCCCACATCAGGCTCTCTGCTCAACAGGGAGCCTGCTTCCTCCTCTCTCTCTGCCTGCCTCTCTGCCTACTTGTGATCTCTGTCTATCAAATAAATAAATAAAATCTTTTAAAAAAAATAGAATCTTTAAAAAAAAACTAACACAAGAGTTTAGCGAGCTGGAAGAATATAAGATCGATATATTTGTAATTGCTTTTCACGCGTTGCTGCATCTACAGAGAGAACGAAGACAATTCTCAGCATCCAGACCAGCACCCCAAAGAGCTGGGTGTCACTGGGAAGAGACGAACATTTACAGTGGATCCCCAGAAGAACTCTGCAGGGGTGTTCGGCCCCACCACGGTAGAAAGTAGAAGGAGAGGCTGCATGGACACATTAAGGAACTGGCTACTGTTGACTCTTTCACCACCTACTACCCACACTCCTTGTGACACAGACCTCTGTGACCAGAAAACAGAGTCTGAGTGTGCTCACTTTCCTACCACTGATTCAGGAGACTGAGTCACTTACTGAAATACGAAATCTCTTAGAGGAAATATATGTCTGCAGAGGATGCAGTACATAAAGGCCAAAAGGATGAGTTGACATTACATTTGCATCAAATTCAGCTACTTTGATTCAGCTAGCCATGAGGGTTAAAAACAAGAATATCACAAATTTTTCAGATGGTATCTCTCTGTAAAACCAGGGTACACCAGGGTTATGAGTAGATCTAAAAATGCTCAAGCTACCAAACCACTAAGAATCTAAATGACACACCATTTGTAATTTTTTAAAATTCTAAAATGCTTTATATAAATTTTTTGAAGTTTATTAGTATTATTATTATTTTAGTAATCTCTACACCCAACATGGGGCTCAAACCCATGACCTGGAGATCAAAAGTTGCATGCTCCTCCCACTGAGCCAACCAGATGTCCTAACGCTTCATAATTTTTTTTTTAAGATTTTATTTATTTATTTGACAGACAGAGATCCCAAATAGGCAGAGAGGCAGGCAGGGTGGGGGGTGAAGCAGGCTCCCTGTTTAGCAGAGAGCCGGATGTGGGGCTCCATCCCAGGACCCTGAGATCATGACCTGAGCTGAAGGCAGAGGCTTAACCCACTGAGCCACCCAGGCACCCCAAATTTTTAACAAATGTTTTCATTATGTGTATCATTGATGAATGATCAGAAAATGCACTTTTTAAAAGATAGCATTTGTAGTACTAACAAAGCTGGTTATTAAGGAAGTAAAATAAAAGTTTGCAAGAGCTGTCTGAAGGAATTCTGCATCCTTCTTGGAAAAAACTGAAACTAATATCTGTTTTTATGGACAAGAAGACCGGAATTTATAAATAAGTAAATTCTTCCCAAGTTGATCTACAGATTTAATGTAATTCCAGTAAAAACACCAATAGGAGGACTTTTTGGGATGTGATAAACTAGTTCTAATGTTTAAATAGATTGGCAATGGGGCGCCTGGGTGGCTCAGTCAGTAGAGCATGTGACTCTTGGTCTCAGGGTTGTGAGTTTGAGCTCCATATTAGGCATGAGTCTACTTAAAAAAAAAATGAAATAAAGGGGACACCTGGATGGCTCAGTCATTTAAGTGTCTGCCTTCAGCTCAGGTCATGATCTCAGGGTCCTGGGATAGAGCCCTGTATCAGGCTCGCTGCTTGGCGGGAAGCCTGCTTTTCCCTCTCCCACTCCCCTTGCTTGTGTTCCCTCCCTCGCTGTCTCTCTCTCTGTCAAATAAATGAATAAAATCTTAAAGAAAAACGATTTTATTTATTTATTTTTCAGGGAGAGAGAGCGCAAGCAAGGGTAGTGGAAGAAGGAGAAGCAGGCTTCCCACTGAACAGGGAGCCCAACATGGGGTTCCATCCCAGGACTCCAGGATCATGACCTGAGACCAAGCAGACATTTAACAACAGAGCCACCCAGGTGCCCAATAAAATCTTTTTTTTTTAAAGAAACTATACTTGAATATCCTTCTAATCCTGGGGTAAGAAAGATTTTCTTAAATGAGACCCAAAGTCACTCAACAGAAAGGAAGAGATTGTTGAATATGGTTATATTACAATTAAGAACTAACCTTCATCAAGGTCACCTTTAAAAAGTGAAGACAAGTTACTCACTGGAGAAGATATTTACAATGCATATAATGGAGAAAAAGTAGTATGAAAATGTATAAAACTCTCCAATAAACTCAATAACAAAGTCGAACACCCAATAGGAAAATGGGCTATTGATGGGACCAGGCATTTTAGAGAGGAGGTGTTCATATACCAGCGAAGGCAGAGACATTTTCATCCTCATTGACAACCAAAGAAATGCAAGTCAATACCAGAGTGAGATAGTGAGATGGAAAAAAAAAATTAGAAAACCAAGCGCTACAGAGATTATAGACCAACAGCATGTGATAGGCATGGATGGATGTATAAACGGATGCGTTTGCTCTGGAAAACCCGGTCAATCAGAACATTCACATACCCTCCCACCTAGTAACTAAATTCTTATCTAACAATGAAGAAAAACTCTTGCATGTGAATGCAATGAGATATGAACCAGAACATCTGGAACAATTCAAATGTCCAGCAACAGGACCTTAGGCACTAGACATAATCATAAAATGAAACAGCGGCAATGTCCCGCACCACAGATGGTTTGCAGGACGTAATTCACGGTGCTGGGTCTACAAAAGCAAGTCCAAGAAGAATGCACAGAACGTGACCTTTGTTGGTGCAGAAGCAATGAAACTAAACAGTGAGTCTTTCAGGCATATGTCCGTGGGATAACGCTAGCAAGAAAAGACTCAGTGGTGGTTCCTGGGTATGGGGTCACAGAGCAACCTGAGTGGATGGAAGTTAGGGTCAGTGTTTGAGGTCTTCGGTTGGATAGTAGGGTCGCAGCTGCTTATCATATCATGAACAAAAGGAGTAAGCACAAATGAACAATGCTTGTTCCTGCAATAAGGGGTTGGTCACGAATCAAACATTTTGGATAACTCCATTTAGAGCGACACGGGTGCAATTTTGTAAGAGGTGAGAGGGGGCATGTTGCACGTGGAGTGAGAGACAACTGCAGCCCCCTGCCCGCAAAGACGTCACAAATACAACAGGGCAGAGACAGGCAAAGGCAGTGATGCTGTGTAAGGTGCCCCTCAAGACAGGGATGGACACGGAGCTCTCTCTATGGGAGAGAGACACACAGACACTGGCAGGGAGGGGGATGGCAAAAGCTTCCCTGAGCAGACGGTGTTGGTACTGGAGCTGGAAGGGCAATCACACGAGGTGGTCTGGTGGAAACAGGGACAGGAGTTTGGAGGAACTGTACATGCAAAGACTCCAAGTTGTAGGGGAGCAGGTGTGTATGGAGACCATGAGAAAGCCAGTGTGGCTGGACCACAGCAGGACCAAGGCTGGAGTGGCCATCAGGAGACTGCTAGAGGGACTTTAAATATCAGACCAAGAAACATGACTCGATTCTCTAAACAACATCGTTGAAACTCCCAAATGGCTGGAAAGCAATAGAGTCTGGGAGAGGTTCCATCAGGCTGTGTCTAGAAAAGGCCGATCAGCAGGGATGGAACAAGAGGTGACCAGAGGGCCACTGGGTCTGGGAGATGAAGGTGAAGAACAGAAGGGAGGTCAACTCCCAGGCGTCCTTCCAGGAGACCAGAGCAGAGCAGGGGGTGGGGAAATGCTGGGAGCCCCATCTGGACTCAGAAGGTACAAGCCCAACAAGCCCCCCAACTGCACTAGAGGACGCCAGCATCACTCACCCAGGCCACTGTACCCATGACAGGATCTTCGTCATCCAGGCCCTCTCGGCTCCCGGATGCTTGCTTCCTGCGGGCTTTCGCTCTAAGGGGAGAAAGCAGCACACTGCAGCCACGGCTCAGGCTCACATGGGCCGGCTGCCCACTCCCTGGTGAGAGGGCGTCCAGACCCCGGAACCAGCCTCAGACCTTCCTGACCTGCACGTAAGCACTCCGTCCCCCTGGGTGAGCAGAGGTTGGGCCGGGCCCAACTTCATCACTAAAGATGCCCCTAACACATAAAGCCTGGGGCCCGAGTAGTCATAGCAGCGTTCTTCGTGACAGCCCAAATGTAGAAACAACCCAAATGTCTATCAATACACGAGGGAGAAAATGGGCTCCACCCTTGCAATGGAATGGCATATGGAGATAAAGGATGAGGTTGGGCGCCTGGGTGGCTCAGCTGTTTAAGCGTCTGCTTTCAGCTCAGGTCATGATCCCAGGGTCCAGGGATCAAGCCCCACTTGGGCTCCCTGCTCAGTGAGGAATCCGTTTCTCCCTCTGCCTCTGCCTCTGCCTCTCCCCCCTACTCGTGCTCACTCTCTCTCAAATAAATAAATGAAAATCTTTTTTTTTTTAAAGGACCAAGTACTGACACATTCCACAACATGCCGGATCCTTAGCATGAAGACATGCTAAGTGAACGGGGTCAGTCACGAAGCACCCCGTGTTAAATGACTCCATTTAACACAGAATGTCCACAATAAGAGGCAAAGGCAGAGAGACAGAAAATAGACTGGCGGTTGCCTAGCGCTGGGGGACGATGCGGCCAGGATGAAAATCTAGGAGAAAAGGGTTTCTTTGGTTTGTTTCTTTTTCATTTGGGGATTGATGAAAAAGTCCTAGAATTGTGGTCATGGATGCACAGCTCTGAATACACTAAAAGCCACAGAATTGTACCCTGTAAACGTGTGGGAGTGGTATCGCCATGCAGCCCTTATCCCCCAGAAGAAATGTCCCCTGGATCTACTCTACTCGGCTCTGCGTTCCTGGGATTGAGTGGCCTCTCTCCGCACTCCCTGTACCTCCCCCGACAATGACTCACACGCAAAAGAAGAGGAGGCACAGACTTAGGGACAGCAGAGCCATAGCACCGGCACCTCCAAGAGCTGCGGGCACGACTCCTGCCAGGAGCACCGGTTTCCCTGCAGGGAAGAGGTGTGGCGAGACTCATTTCCAGGCCTCTGTCTCTTGCTCTCCTACCTCCTCGCAGAACTTGCTTAAGGGCCAGCTCGGGCTGGAGACAGAGCAGCACCCTATCCCACCAGTCGCCCCCTGTGCAGACCCCAGCCCCACCCCCAGACCTTCTTTTCTAGGATCCAGACTCCCTCCTCCTACACCTCTGCCCCGGACAGCTCCCGGACCTGGGAGCAGCAGGACAGTGGCGCTCTGTTTCCCGTGGTCATTCCAGGCCTCGCAGCTGAGTCTGAGGCCGGAGCCCAGCGGCCCGCTGAGGCTCAGGGAGCTGTTGGCCCAGGGCCCGGCAGAGCTGGAGGTGACGGTCCAGGAGGCGTTGCTGTGGTTCCCCTCCAGCAGCTCCTCCCCCAGCCGCCAGCGCAGGGTGGGGGCCCGCTGGGCTCGGGAGGAGCAGTTACAGCGCAGCCCCTCGCCCTCCCAGGAGCAGGAGGAGCTGAGCAGTTGTGGGGGGTCTGCGGGAGAAAGAGGAAGGGTCAGCCGTGTCTCTCCTCCCCAGGCCCCGGGCAGCCTGCCCCCAGGGGTCCCCACACTCACAGACCACAGAGAGATGCAGGGAGACGTGCTGGGAGCCCAGTGCGTTCTGAGCTTGGCAGGTGAGGTCTCCTTCATGCTCCATTTGTATCTGAGGGAGCTCCAGGATCCCAGGGTGTGCGGGCTGGGAGAAGCTCAGAGTCTGTCCCCCTAGGACCCAGCTCAGCTGGGCTGGGGGGTTGCCATCAGCAACACAGAGCAGCCGTAGAGTCTGGCCTTCCTGGGTGAGAATGGTCAAGCCCTTTTCCAGAATCTTCAGGGCTTTGGGAGAGATTCAGAGGGAGAGAGAGCACCTGCTCCAGTTGTGGGAGGCTGGCAGTCTCCTTCCTCCCTCCTTCGCAGTTGGCATTTCCCTCTCCTTCCTTGACCCAACGACTTGGTTCCGTCAGGGCTGAAAGGCTGGCTTTACGCCCCAAAGAGTTTGACCTCATGTGTCTGCGCCTCGTATCTTCAGCAGAGGCTCAGTGTCCCACTGGGACCTGCTGGACTGCTTGGTGGCTTCACTCAGTGAACGCGGCAGGAAAAAGGATGGAGGAGGCTGGGGTGGCAGGGTAGGCGGGAAGCCAGAGGCATGCCACTCGTGAGGTGAAACAGGCTTTGAGCAGTTAGTGTGCGTGTGTGCGCGCGTGAGCATGGGAGCATGGGAATGCAGGTGCATGCACCTGTGGGAGGTAGGGGGCTGCTGATTTTTATTTTTGCTTTCCCCCTATCTGATCCCATTCAAGCTATGATCCCCTTCCCTTTGCTGGGAGCTGACCCCCTACTCCCACCCCAGGGCCTGGTCTCAGTCCCCAAGAAGACAGGTTCTTTCCTACCTGTGACATTGCTGGAGAGGAGGCTGATGGTGAGGTTCTGGGGAGCGTCTGGGATGGAAAGATAAGGCCCTGCCTCAGACCTGAAGATTAGGATGGAAGATTACCCAGCACCCAAGGAGGGGTAGAGGACCACAGGGGACCACAGGGAAAGTGGGGAATGCTGTCCTTGTCCACTCCCCACCTACACTCCCAAGGTGCATCTACATACACACACACACACACACACACACAGTCCCCACTGCCCTGGGGGGCCCAGCCATCCCTCCAGCACTCACAGGAGACATTGAGCCTGATGGTTCTTTCCACGGTGCCCTGACCTTCTGGCAGGTGCACCTGACAGGTGAGGTTGCTGCCATGGTCCTGCACCCTCGGGGTGAGGGTCAGCACCGAGGAGTGGAGGGTCTGGGGGTCCAGTGAGTCAAGAGCACCCCCCACCCAGAAGAAGCGGAGAGGTCTTCCTTCTTCGCAGATTCCCCGCAGACTACAGGTCAGGTTCGTGGGATAGCCGGACTTCAGGGGCTCCGGAAAGTGGATGTCGGGTTCCTGTGTCAGGGCTGAGGAGGACAGACGCAGGTGCCTGGGCCCCAGGGAGCTGGGGACCCAGAGTGTGACCCTGACAGGGACCAGGGCCTCAGGGCACAAGCTGACCTCGGGGCCCCCATGTCTCTTCCCACCATCCCAGCCCCAAGACCTGGAGCAGGGAATGTTCCAGTGTCCTGCTCCTGTTCTAAGAGGGGGGTCTCCACATCCCAGAGCTCTCCTGGGGCCCCTGCCATACCTGCCACCAGCAGGTTCAGCTGCTTATCTTTGTAAGCATATCTCCCATAGTCTCTCTCTGTTTGGAACCTGTAGAGTCCCTGGTCGCTCCTCCTGGCCTCTCTGATTCTCAGGGAGCAGTTGTTTTCCCCGGGCTTCCCGACGAGGTCGAACCGGTCCTGGAACTCTGTCTTCACCTTTGTTYTTTTATCATTTGTAGCCACAAGCTGAGAGTTATGGGAGCTGTCCCCACTCCGGAACCAGTACATGTAGGGCCTCTCACGGGTAGGCCACGAGCTCCTGGGATAGAAGAAGGCGCAGGGCAAGTGCACACACAGACCCTCCTGCACCGTCACCGTGTCCTGCACTTGGAGCTTGTACCCCCAGTCCTCCTGCAGGGACCCTGCGGGGAAACCGAGGCTCAGCTGTGGCTCCGGCACACCCCCACCTGTGCCCGCCAGCGCTCCCCCTTGGCCCACTTACCCCCCCACAGCAGGGGCAGCAGCAGCAGGGGCACCATGTCTGCACCAGCCTGCGTTCAGGTCCCTCTGTTGGGGAAGGAAATGGCCTGAATGAGGCCAAGGAAACCCCAACAGGAAGCTGCGTGTCAGAGCTTTGGTCACGGGACAAAGGGAACTTGGGCAGCATGGACCATGGCGGGGGAGGGGGGAGCTGAGAGATCACCCGTCTTGCCTCCCTGCCATTTGCAGATGGTGAGAGGCTTGGCTAGGAGGATAACGCCCCAGAACTGCGGCACTTTCCTAGTGCAACACGGGGAGGGGCGCAGGGAGAGGGGGAAGCAGACCCCTCCTGGTCAATATGTCGGGAGTCCGACACATGGCTGCACGCAGGGCTCCATCCCAGGATCCTGAGACCATGACCTGAGCTAAAGTCAGACACTTCACCGACTGAGCCACCCAGGTGCCCCGTCTTGTGCCCCATGTTTGCTCAGGGAAGAGAACACCACCTGTTCTCGGAGATCAGAGCCTCTGGGCACTGGAAGAGATCTGGAGCAAATGCATTATCACATGATCGGCCTCTAAGGAGAAGCTCCCAGGCTGAGGGTCCAGGTGGCCGTGCCTACCCCTCTGTCAGGAGAGAATTTCTCAGGGACAAATCCATTGGTCCACGATAGTTACAAGAGATATGGCTCCCACCAGTGTCCCTGAGGCCTCCTGCCCTCTTGGATTTGGGTCCCCAGTCCCACCATAGTCCTCATCCCAGGCAGCCTAAGACTCTGGCCTTGGTGTTAATGCAGAACTGACCTGAGAGCTGGGCATTTGGAATGTGGAAGTTGGGGGCATGGAGTTGGAACCCAGACATCTACCTACTTACCACCCTGCCTACCACCTGCTCGACTTTACTAAATTCTGCTAACCTCTCTGTGCCTCAGTTTGCCCATCTACAAAATGGGGACACTACTACAAATGGTGTGTGACATTAAATGAGTTCATGCATGCTTAGGACAGTGCCTGGTACTCACTGAGCATTTGTTCATCCAAATGATGTTTCCTGGAACCTCCCATGTGCCAGGCCCTGTTTTAGGGCTGGAGATAAAGCAAAGGGTCAGCTCTGAGGATAGAAAAGATGAGTCAGAAACTCTAGTTAGAAGACAAACAATTAATGAAAAATTTTAAAAGCACTATCACTGAGAGAGTGATATATTTTAGGGGAACCCCCCCAAAAACAGAAAAATGTAAGAGGAATCTTTAAAGACTGCTAAAATTTAAAAAAAGAAAACAAGCCTCATGGAGAAGGTGACATCTGAGTGAAGATGTGGACAAAGTGAGAGATACTGTGGGCACCCATGCAAAAGGAACCCATTGTGAAGGACTAGTGCACTCAGAAGTCCTAAGTGAGGGTAGGTATGTTGGCAGAAGGTTGGATGACAGCACAGCAGAGTGAGCCATAGGGAACGTTGAAGGAGAGGAGGTCTGGGAGTTAGTTACCCTAGGTCAGCTTCTGAAGAGCTCTGGAGGCTGCTGTAGAAACTTGAATTGTACTCTGGGTGTATTAGTCAGGGTTCTCCAAACAGAACCCCTTGGATCACATCCTATGCATATACAAAGAGACCTATTGTGCGGATTTTGCTTCTGTGATTATGGAGGTTGACAAGTCCCAACATATGTGGTTGGTAAGCTGGAGACCCAGGACATCTGATGGTGAATTCTAGTCCAGAGACCAGCTGGCTTGACACCCAGGAAGAGCCAATGTTTCAGTTCAAGTACAAAGGCACAGAAAAAAATGATGTCCTAGCTGGAAAGCAGTGAAACAGGAAGAGTTCCCCTTAGTTGTGCAAGGGTCAACACTTTCCTTCCATGCAGGTCCTAACTGATTGGATCAGGCCCACCACACTGGGAAGAAGAATCTGCTTTAAACGATCTACTGATTTAAATCATTGGCCATTGGTGATTTATTCAACTTCCAGCCCCTTTCTCCTCCTCCCTGGAGGTCAAGAGGGTAGAACTGAAAGTCCCAATCCTTCAGCCAAAGCGCCATTCCCTTAGCAATCAGCCCCCATCCTTAGCTGCTATCCAACTGTCACCTCATTAACATAACAAAAGACACCTTAATTGTTTTCAACACTTGGTAAATTCTAAGGCTTTTAGGAGCTCCCTGCTGGAAATGGGAATGGATGGACCAAAGGTGCATATTTCTTATTATAAATCACAGTATCACAGGTGTGAAGGGCAGTGCAAGACTTGAGCAGAAAAGGGACAGGATCTGATTTGCTTTTCCCCTGACCCCCTGCTTGCTGGACTGAGCCCAGACTTCTCTGGGGCTGTTGTGTTGCCCTGCTTGTGAGATGGGAGTGCCCAGGTCTGGGTGGACATGGTGGGTTGGTGGGAAGTTGATGGCTAGCGGTATTTGTTGGTGTATCAGATCCATATTGAGAGAGAAAGAGAAAATTCAACAATACCAATGTGTTTCTCCCAAATGGTTGCAAGCTGCAAGCTGCCATTACAGAAAAAGGGAAAATCTTTAAGAGATTTTTAAAGAAGAAATTCGGGAGCTCAATCTCAGACATATTGGGTTAGAGACACACAAGTGGAAAGATCAGACAGAGGGTGCTTGATCTGTGGGTCTATAGCTTAGAAAAAGTCCAGCGGCACCCATGAACTTGGAATGTCACCACACGGATCATATTTAACTGTGGGCCTGAGTGTGATCACACACTGCACGAGATAAAACAGAAAAGAGGTGAGGACCATCTCCAGTGGGCATCAGACCCACCTTCCTGCTGAAAACAACCACAAACAGAAAGGGAAAATCATGGCAAATCTGAAAACCACTGAAGGGCTGACAAGTGTAAGGTTTTACAGGAGAGATACACACGACACCAGGCAAGATAGGAGAAAGGCAACGTTTATTAAAGATGCCCTCGGGCGAGGTTCCTCGAGTCGGGGAAGTCATGCAGGAAAGGGGTTGAGTGAGCTTTTATTGGGTTAAGACAGGGCATAGGTTCACAGCCATATAAGGTAAGGTATTTGGTGGTTGGAGGGTAGGGAAGTCCTGATGTTCCTGTTTCTTACATAGGTATCACTTATGTAATACCTGTGTGAGGTTTACTTATGGTGATGTGTCCTCAGCATGTCCTTCTGGCAGGAGAGTCATGGGTAGAGGAAGAGGGCGGCCTGGAAGATGGTGGCCCGGTGGCCATTTTATTGTTCCTCCTGCATTCCCACAGCTGCCGACCTAACAACAAGAAAATTTTCAGCGTGAAATCGAGGACAGGGTAGAAACCAGACAGGGAAGGGAGGCACCAAAGCTACACATTAGCTGGTTGTGGTTGTAAATGGAATTGACTCCTTAATTTCTCTTTCTTCTCTCTCGTTGTTAGTGTATAGAAATGCAACTCATTTCTGTGCATTGATTTTATATCCTGCCACTTTGTTGACTTCCTGTATGAGTTCTAGCAATTTTGGGGTGGAGTCTTTTGAGTTTTCCAGAGAGTAAGATGCTACTTTTAGATAGAAACCGGGAACTGAACAGTCAAAAGACCGACCAACCCACCAACAACAGAACAACGGCACAGGAAGACAGAGCCATGAGGGAGCGCTGGGGAACCCAGAAATGTAGGGAAGGCCGTGGGGGTGAGAAAAGGCACCAAACCATAAGATACCTAGGAATAAACATAACCAAAGAGGTAAAGGATCTGTACTCAGAAAAATATAGAACCCTCATGAAAGAAATCGAGGAAGACGCAAAGAAATGGAAAAACGTATCATGTTCATAGGTTGGAAGAACAAATATTGTGAAAATGTCTATGCTACCTAGAACAATCCATATATTCAATGAAATCCCTATCAAAATACCATCAACTTTTTTCACAGACCTGGAACAAATAATCCTAAAAATTATATGGAACCAGATAAGACCCCAAATAGTCAAAGGAATGTTGAAAAAGAAAAACCTGGTAGCATCACAATTCCAGACTTTAAGCTCTATTACAAAACTGAATCATCAAGACAGCATGGTATTGGCACAAAAACAGACACATAGATCAGTGGAACAGAATGGAGAGCCCAGAAATAGACCCTCAACTCTATGACCCACTAATCTTTACAAAGCAGGAAAGAATATCCAATGGAAAAAAGATGGACTCTTCAACAAACAGTATTGGGAAAACTGGACAACCACATGCAGAAGAATAAAACTGGACCATTTCCTTACACCATGAACAAAAATAGACTCAAAATGGATGAAAGACCTATATAGGAGACAGGAATCCATCAAAATCCTAGAGGAGAACACGGGCAGCAATCTCTGTGACCTCAGCCACAGCAACTTCTTGCTATACAGGTCTCCAAAGGCAAGGGAAACAAAGGCAAAAATGAACTATTGGGACTTCATCAAGATATAAAGCTTTTGCACAGCAAAGGAAACAGCCAACAAAACCAAAAGATGATCAACAGAATGGGAGAAGGTATTTGCAAACAACATATCAGATAAAGGGCTAGTAACCAAAATCTATAAAGAACTTGTCAAACTCAACACCCAAAGATTAAATAGTCCAATCAAGAAATGGGCAGAAGATATGAACAGACATTTCTTCAAAGAAGACATGTAAATGGCCAACAGACACATGAAAAAGTGCTCAACATCACTCAGCACCAGGGAAATACAAATCAAAACCACAGTGAGTACCATCTCACACCAGTCAGAATGGCTAAAATTAACAAGTCAGGAAATGACAGGTGTTGGCAAGGATGCGCAGAAAGGGGAACCCTCCTACACTGTTGGTGGGAATGCAAGCTGGTGCAGCCACTTTGGAAAACAGCATGGAGGTGCTTCAAAAAGTCGAAGATAGAGCTACCCTATGACCCAGCAATTGCACTACTGCGTATTTACCCTAAAGATACAAATGTAGTGATCCGAAGGGGCACGTGCTTCCCAATGGTTTTAGGAGCGAGGTCCACAATAGCCAAACTATGGGAAGAGCACAGATGTCCACTGACAGGTGAATGGATAAAGAAGAGGTGGTATCTATATACAATGGAATACTACTCAGCCATCAAAAAAAGAAATCTTACCATTTGTAATGAC